GGCTGTAGAAAGGACTGATGGTAAGATTCCTCTGGTATAGGATAACACATTCTTCCATCAGAGAATTTGATAGCAAAGAAATGTATGATTTCAGGCTGCCTTTGCCTAGTTGGATTTGACTTTGAGTGAATTACAGCCAGACTAGGGATATACTGTATTTCTTGCCATCTAAGACACATTTTTCCTATATAAACATCTCAAAAAATGGGGTGTGTCTCAGCATCGCAAGTGTATCTTATGTATTTTTGTTGGTGGTAGTGATACTGAAATTAATGTGTGTCTCACAATCTATGTTGTCTCACAATTAAAGAAATATGATAATTTCTGTGTTCTCTGAAAGGTTAAATTGCTTATTTAGGTGCATAAAGGCAAAAACATATTACCTTATATACTCGAGTATAAGCCTAATTTTTCAGCACATTTTTATACTGAAAAATGCCCCCTCAGCTTATACTTGAGTGATGGACCTGGCGGGAAGGCATGGGGCTGAGAGAAGCCCTTTGCAGAGCTTCTACCAGCTGCACACCTCCCCCCCCCTTTTGACATAGCCACCCAGCTGTGTCGCTGTGCCAAGACGGGAAGAGAGGAAGGTGCATGGCTCATCAGCCTCGTGCTTTCCCACTGGGCCTGGTCTGGCCTCTCCACTGAGAAGAGAGGAGAAGCTGCATGCCTTCCTCTTCTTCCCTCTCAGCACAGCAACCCAGCTGGGTCTCTGTGCCAAGAAAGGAGGAGAGGAAGGCGCACAGCCTCTGCTGTCCTCTCGGTATAGCAACCGAATGGACAGGAGAAGCTGCATGCCTCAATTAATGTAATTTTATTGGTATTGGTTTTTATTTTGAAATTTACCAATAGCTGCTGCATTTCCCACCCTAGGTTTATACTCAAGTCAATAAGTTTTCCCAGTTTTTTGTAGTAAAATTAGGTGCCTTGGCTTATATTCGGGTTGGTTTATACTTAAGTATATATGGTAAATGAGAATGCCTGTCAATGTCGAGAAGATACTGTCAGGCAAATGTAATTAATCTGAAACATGCCATACTTAAAACAAATGACTTCTAACCCAATCTTGGGCTGATGCAGTGATACTCAAGATTAAGCAATAGACTTACCAGCAATATTGTTTTAAGTGCTATGACCCCAGTATAGCCATTATTTCATACTCTCGTCAATAAAAAGTTGGTGCCATGAACCATCTAGTTTCATTTATATGTGTTCAAAAGTAGAAACATGACCTGGAGGAGTGTTGACCAATTTATTTTATCAAGAAAATCAGAAAAACAAAAATTAGATAATTGTCTCAAAGGAAACTTTTGTTTACCACATTTCCCAGTGTCAAACTACAATTTTTTTCAAACCACAATTTGCCCACAAATACCATCAAAGTCATCTGTTATAAGATGGAACCTTTTGTTCGAATATCTAGAACACATTGTGTGGTTCTCTCTGTGTGTATTCTCATAGCTACCTAATAAGTTCAGAATCTTACCTTGAGATTTAAATTGGCTGTAGGCAGGCGATCTGTCATGTCTTATTATCAGGTGGTTATTTGTTTTAATGGGGCCTTGACTGACAGCAGGGAGTAAGCCATTGAACTGTGAACATGGCTGTGATGAAAGGTTTCTCTAATCACTGCTCTTTGGCATTGTGTTTCCTGCATGTCTCAGGATAGTGTGGGTTGCTTTGAATTCTTATTTAAATCCTACCTTTCTTGGCAGTAGGAGTAATTTTGCACTAAGCAGTGTGGTTAATTTTGAGGCTTTGTGAGAACTTATGGTAAAGGTTGTTGTTTTTTAAAGTCCTCATTAGTAATATTTTATGCTAATGTTTCCTTTTCTTCCTTTTCCCCTTCATTGCTTTGATTTTTGACAGTTTGGCCTTTACAGTGGTTCATTTAACACTGCTTATTTTAACTACATAACATCATAATCTGTAATGCTGTAATTAACTGGCACAGTGAAATCTAAAGTATTTCACCCTAAGATTAAGTAGGGAATGAATGTGCAGAGTATCAGTAATCTAAGATATCAAGGCACTTTGGTATTTAATGACCTTTGTCAGATAATAACATTAAGGGATGACTGCCTTTCTAGAGAACTCTTTTCAAGTTACTAATAGTAATTCAAATAGAATGTAGTCCAAACCTTCTTACAAATGGCATTTGTCAGATTTCCCCCTATCCATATGGAAAAAAACAATGGTCTGCAGTTATGAAATCAGTAGTGTGCTCTGAAATACCGAGAAATTTGTGAGAAAGAAGTTGAAAGCTTAATGAGCAGTTCCAGGTGTGAGGGGTCCTCAGGAAAAGTTCTCTAGATATCTCCCTACCTCCAGCAACATCCCTCGAAAATTTGGGGGCAATAGAAGGACAAGTAATGGGCATGAAAATACAGGCAGTCCCGGAATTAAGAACATCCAACTTATGAACAACTACTAGTTACAAATGGGTCTCTCCTCTTCCTCCCTACCATGCAATCTTAGCGCTGAGCCAAAATGTGTCTGTATCTCTAAACCCCCTTTTCCATTTTCTTCCTATCCATATCTTGCAAATCCGTTTTCCCTTTGCTCCCTACGAGTCTCTCCAAACTCATTTTCTCTTTTCTTCCTATCCATATCTCTTCAATCCCCTTCCCCCCTTTCTTCCTGTCAATCTCTCCAAACCCTTTTACCTTTTCTTCCTATCTATCCAAACTCCTTTTCTCTTTTCTTCTCATCCATATCTCTCCAAATCCCTTTTACCTTTTTTCTTCCTATCGATCTCTCCAAACATTTTTTCCATTTTCTTCCTGTTGATCTCACCAAACTCTTTTTTCCTTTTCTTCCCACCCATATCTCTTCAAACCCCTTTTACCTATTAATCTCTCCAAAAACATTTTCCATTTTCTTCCTATCCATCTCTTCAAACTCCTTTTTCCTTTTCTTCCTATCCATTTCTCTACAACCCCCTTTTTCTTCCTATTGATCTCTCCACTCCCTTTCCTTTTATTCCATTTTCAGTTGCAGCTTTCTGCAGAATTTGTAGTTTAGTGAGTTTTCTGAGGTTTGTAGTTTAGTGAGTCTCAGGACCTCTCTGGCTGAGCAGTTTAAAGACTCTTCCCTAAACTACAAACCCCAGAATTCTAAAGGAGGCAGCAACCAGATTTAAAGTGGGAAGATGCTCCCGTGCAGGCATGAACTTCAACTCCTACAATCCCTAATGCCTACCAGCTCTTAGGAATTGTGGGGGGTTTACGTCCAAAATACCTGGAGGGCCAAAGTTTGCCCATGCCTACTCTAGTGTGATGAGGTCCGAAATCCCGTTACTCCTCCCTGTATTTCTCCACCTCTCCTCTCCTCTCCTTTTCCGGCCTTTTAATTGCCTTTCAATTGACACAATGCTATGCAATGCTGGGATTTGCACTTTGGTAAGGCAGTAGCCTTCTTTGACAGAGAAGATAAAGAACTTGTAAAACTACAGCTCCCAGGATCCCATATCAATGAACCAGGGTAGTTAAAGTGGTGTCAAACTGCATTAATTCCACATTGTGGCTAAATATGGATGAACTCTGTATTTTATTTCTTGTATTACGAAAAGATGAGAAAGATCACAGAATGTAGTGAGTAAAACAGAGTGTGAGAGGTTAAGGATGTAAAAGAGGGAGAGAGTGTGCGGTAGCAGCTTTACTGCTTTGTAAAAAAAACAAAACCAGAATATTTCCTTTGCATGTCACTGTAAAGATATTTATATCTGTGTTTGGACTGTGGGGTGTTCATTGTCCAGATGTTCCAGACGTTCAGCTACTAATGTGGATTTATAGTTGCGAAAGAGAGAACTCAGCTGGACAACAAACACTAGAATCACAGAGTTGGAAAAAGCCTTGAAGGTTAACTAGTCCAACTGCTTAGAACTTTTTTTTAACAATACCTCCCCTTTCTGCCATTAAGCCTTTGAAAAAAAATAGTTTCCCGTTTGGTCAAAAACAGCCAAGGATGGTGACTGGAAGTGTTGTGGTGTCATTTCCAATTCATCTGATACTCATGGAGACAAAAATTGGCCCTTGCCTCTATGAAGTTATCTAGCCCTGACTTTGAATACTTTGTAGTCATTGTCTTTATGCCCTGCTTATGCCCTTCCACTTTATGTCTGTGGTAAAAAAAAAAAGAGAGAGAGAAATGGTTGTTTATTAATTCAAATAATCTGTTTAACCTTAGATATGCTTATATGTAGGACCTTTAAAACTTGGCATTATCTCTTTTGGGTTCAAAATTGATTACCAAGTGCACCAAGCTTTCCATTTCCAAAATAAGGTGGGGGAAAGCTTAAAGCCTCTACCTATTCCTTCATGTTAGTGGTTCTCAACCTGTGGGTTCCCAGATGTTTTTGGCCTTCAACTCCCAGAAATCCTAACAGCTGGTAAACAAGCTGGGATTTCTGGGAGTTGTAGGCCAAAACACCTGGGGAACCACAGGTTGAGAACCACTGTATTAGTTGTTCTTTCAATTCATTTGTTGAGGAGTGGGCAGAAGAATGTGATCAGCGATGCAAGAACCCTACCACTTTAGTAATGTAGATATAAACAAGATGTTTTGCAATATTCACTAATTAACAGCCCATAAGGTACTAATAAGCCTACTTTGAAACTTACAAAATGTGGCAGAGGAGAGAAAGCATGAGGTCTTTTAGAAATTGAGATACTATCTTGGTGCAATGCAAAACCTCAATCTCTAAATAAGATTTAAGAAATCTTTTTCACGCATCTGTGTTAGGTTGGGTGTGTCTGTGTGACAGATATTGATATATATGATGTTGTTACTGCTTGGAAAATATGGTTGTTTGATTTGCCCTAAGCTGCTTGTTCCACAGGAAGTTTGCAAAAGTTTGTGTCAACAAAAAAGCAGAATTTCTTGACGTTCTTGATCCATTGTCCTACAGTGTTTGCAAAATCGGTGTTGATTCCTCTCTCTCTCTCTCTCTCTCTCTCTCTCTCTTTTCTCTCATTCTTAAAAAAATCAATGTCCAATAGAAGTTGAAGGAGTATCTGGAAGGCAGGAACCTCATCACCAAGCTTCAGGCGAAACATGACCTCCTCCAGAAGACTCTGGGAGAAAGTAAGTCTTGGAATCACTTTATCATTGGGTCAGCCTATCCCTTGTAATTACTGAATTAGGCAGCTGACTGAGCATAACCATCTTGGATTATCGATGCTAAGTAGACCAAGTCATGTTTTATGGATTTATTATTCCATCGCTACTGTGCTACTTAAGTAATGGTGAAAAGGGAGTGCTTAATGAGCCAATAATGTGCATCATCTCTTTGTTTAAGTGAAGCATATGCCTATTCTCTCCCCCACTCCCCCAATTATTACACCATTTTTACAGAATCAGATTGGAGGAATATTTTTTCTCTCTCCAGGCATCCAGATATTTTATATATTCTTTATCCTTTTGTCATTGGATTTGCTTGCTTTTCATCTCAATAGCGTGCTTTTAAGAGAAATTAAGGAGAACATGTTTTCTCAAAGACAGAATTGTGTTGCAGTATTGAGAGCACAGCCTGTTGGCACTACCAGCCATTGAAGCTGGAATGATTAGTTGCCTGACACCATTAGTGAACCAAGATGCCATCAGAAATTATGTATCTGTGCACCTATGAAAATCCCATCTGTTCAGCATCTGGAGAAAGGAAGGCTAGGCGATCATGATGCCACAGTACCATTAAGTTCTCTATGCGTCGAACAAGAAAATTGAACACACACAAGCACATAGGTTTGTGTTTCTCCACATAATATTCGCTGCCTTCTGTGATAAACACATTCCTGGGTTATTGAAGGCTGAGACATTCAAGCATGAGCAAGGCACCTCTTAACAACTATTTCCCACACTGTTTTGTAATGCCTTTTTGGACAGGTTAAAATTATGTTGCCAGTCCTCTGAGCTGATATAAAACAATACGATACACACAATTATTTGGGAGGACATGGAAGTTGGCATATACTTACATACATATCAGTATATGTATGTATTTTTCTAAGGCAGGATCAGAAATCTGCAAATGAAGGAGCTGCTAAATGTTAATCCTAAATCCAATTTATAAATGCCGTTGAACTAGGGAGTGCATTATTGAAATCTTTTAATAATGTTGGCTCTGCTTCACTGTCTGAGATTGCTTGGCAGACTGTAAAATATGTCTGGTTGTCTAACTTTGGAGGAACTCGGTATTGCTTTGTGTCTGCCCCCTGCTCCCTCTGCCTTGTGCTTCCCTTTAAGGTGACATTTGACTCCTCTTGCAAATTACTTTAATCTGTAGATGACAAGTTCCGTTAATGAAAAGTACCAGCAGGTCTTTCAGCCTGCAAGTAATTATTTCCCTACTTTCCATCTGCATTTGTCACTGTAATACTAGAACCCTTTGATGTTGCCATAGCCATGTAATTTATACCTATGAATATTCTGTGATAGAAATGGGACAGATGGTAAGAAACTCTGGTTTGGAATAATGCTGTTATAAATTATGCACTATTCTAGGTAATTGAGGTTTGTGTTGGGAGGGGGAAAGTGACTGTTCAAAATGTGTTATTTATTTTCCATGATCAACAATTAGCCCCATTTACATCACTTCTTATTTAATCTTGAGCTGTCAGGCCAGAGCCTTAGTTGATGCAAATCGACAACATTCCAGTGGTAAAATAATCTTAGAGCCCTTCCAGATAGGCCTTATCTCCCAGAATCTGATCCCAGGTTTTCTGCTTGAAACTGAATTATATGAGTCTGCACTGCCAGATTTATTTATTTATTTATTTATTTATTTGTCGTGTCAGAGCAACCACTCCATTATACTACATTTCTAACAGAACAAAGCAAACAGACAGAAAAATACACAACTTGTGAGTTTGGTAGATGGTTAAATGTCCTTTGACCAGTATCTGGCCACTTGGAGTGCTTCTGGTGTTGCTGCAAGAAGGTCCTCCATTGTGCATGTGGCAGGGCTCAGGTTGCATTGCAGCAGGTGGTCAGTGGTTTGCTCTTCTCCACACTCGCATGTCGAGGATTCTACTTTGTAGCCCCATTTCTGAAGGTTGGCTCTGCATCTCGTGGTGCCAGAGCGCAGTCTGTTCAATGCCTTCCAAGTCGCCCAGTCTTCTGTGTGCCCAGGAGGGAGTCTCTCATTTGGTATCAGCCATTGGTTGAGGTGCTGGGTTTGAGCCTGCCACTTTTGGACTCTCGCTTGCTGAGGTGTTCCAGCGAGTGTCTCTGTAGATCTTAGAAAACTATGTCTAGATTTAAGTCGTTGGCGTGCTGGCTGATACCCAAACGGGATGAGCTGGAGATGTCTCTGCCTTGGTCCTTTCACTATTGGCTGCTACTTCCCGGCGGATGTCAGGTGGTGCAATACCGGCTAAGCAGTGTAATTTCTCCAGTGGTGTAGGGCGCAGACACCCCGTGATGATGCGGCATGTCTCATTAAGAGCCACATCCACTGTTTTAGTATGGTGAGATGTGTTCCACACTGGGCATGCATACTCAGCAGCAGAGTAGCACAGCGCAAGGGCAGATGTCTTCACTGTATCTGGTTGTGATCCCCAGGTTGTGCCAGTCAGCTTTCGTATGATATTGTTTCTAGCACCCACTTTTTGCTTGATGTTCAGACAGTGCTTCTTGTAGGTCAGAGCACGGTCCAGAGTGACTCCCAGGTATTTGGGTGCGCTGCAATGCTCCAGTGGGATTCCTTCCCAGGTGATCTTCAGAGCTCGGGATGCTTCTCTGTTCTTGAGATGAAAGGCACATGTCTGTGTTTTAGATGGGTTAGGGATCAGCTGGTTTTCCCTGTAGTAGGCAGTAAGAGCACCTAGAGCTTCGGAGAGCTTCTGTTCTACAGTCTCAAAGCTCCCTGCTTGAGCAGTAATGGCACGATCATCAGCATAGATGAAACTCTCTGTCCCTTCTGGCAGTGGCTGATCAGATTCTGGCATATAGGACCTGCCGATATGTGCCAGATAATTTGTATCCTCTTTTTTTCTCTCTTAACTGCATTTATATAAAATATTGTCTGTATCAGCACCAGACACTTGACCCTTTTCTTTCCAAGTTGGAAGAAGGTTGGTAGAATGATTTTTGAAAAAATAAACCTGATAACAGAAATAATAATTTAAAGCCATGACTACTAAAAGAAATGGAATACTGCGTTGTCAATGGCTTTCATGACTGGAATCACTGGGTTGTCCTGATTGTTTCATGTCAGGAATTCCCCAGTTTTTTGAGTGTTCCTCTTTATTTACTGTCCTGATTTTAGAGTTGTTTAATACTGGTAGCCAGATTTCTTCATTTTCATGGTGTCCTCCTTTCTGTTGAAATTGTCAACATGCTTGTGAATGTTAATGGCTTCTCTGTATAGTCAGGGCCAGCTAACACCTCCTAACAAAGAATTACCCCAGGCAGGAAGCAGCCAGGCTTTGAAGCTGTAAGGCCATTAAATGCTAATCAATGTGACCAATTGCAACTCTCACACTTTCTTGAAGCAGACAAGAGTTCTTTCTCCCAGAAAAAGAACTCTGGGGGAGAAATGGCATCATTCTGCTTAGCGAAAGATTTAAACTAGTTTGCTAGAGATACACTAACTATTTTTTTTTAAAAAACTTGATGTTTTCCAAAGAAAGAGTCCTTAAGCAGCTTGGATCTATTTTGTGCATTTCCTGGGCAGCCACCAAGGAGCTTTGTCAGCAAGGATGGGCTATTGTGTTCACAATAACAAAAGTGCAAGAAGGAAGCAGCTGCCCTGTTGCACCTTAAAAAAAAATCTCCCAAACCCCTCATCTCTCAAACTGAAGTCAGAACCATTTCTCCATTCTTCCTACCTGTAGCAAATTTCTGCTTTGAAAAATATTAACATCACACTTTTTTTCTTTTAACAGGTCAAAGGACTGACTGCTCCCTTGCCAGGTAGGCGTGGCTGCTCACTGTCCTTGTTTTTCAGTGTTGTCACCAAAATAGTCCCTTTTTGGTGACTATTTCTTTCTAAAAAGCTGCAGCTCAAGGCAATATAAACTCATATTTAGAAACCTTTTGGGCAACTTCTTGCCGAGCAGATACAATGTAAGAACATAGTTTATAAGCTAAAGTATTGGCCTACTGGACAACAGGGTTGGAGAATTGGTGATGTATATAGTTTGCATAGAATTGCTATATAGATTTTGGATTACGGATAGCTAATTTGATCATTTGGCAAAGCAAGAAAGAGAGAGAAATAGGAACATTGGTTTTATCGTCCAAGACCCAGGTGTAAGGGCACGACTGGACATTACTATTTTTATTGTACTGAGTTGTACTATTTTAATATGTAATGATTTGTATTTGCTGTTTTTTCATATGATTGTATTTGATATGCACTGTAAACCGACCTGAGTCCCTCGTTGAGGTTGAGAAGCCTGGTATAGAAAACCTCTAAATAATAATAATAATAATAATAATAATACTATTGGAATTCAACCCCACACAGCCAAAGTCTGTAGTCCTGAATGAGGAACAAGTTAGTTAGCTTAGAATAGGCTAATGGTTTCCATTCCCCCATGTCTCTTGTATGACAGTTGGAATGTATCTCATTTCTTCTCTCCTCTTTGTTTCTGCTCTCATTCTGTTTGTGTAGAATGGATAATTTTCTACTGCAAGCCTTTCCTTCTGACTTTAGCTTTTCCCATCTGAGTATGTTCTGTGTTCTTTGAGCTCTCTCTCTGCGTGTGTGTCAGGAGAGATGTAATGATTGGTGTTTTTTCCTTCTATTTAAAATCTTAGAAGAGATGGGTATTAGAGTAAATCAGACCCAGTTATTTAACAATTGAGAAATTGAGTTATTTTTTGTAAATAAACCTTTTGTGATTTTTTAAAAAACAGGACTCTACATCTTTGCTTCCTAAGCTCTAAATTCTTTACAGCCACATCACACAACACTTCATGCTTTGCTCGCTGTGAGCTGATTGCTCAACTTTTAGTATCCTATTTGTTTTTTAATGTTCTGCTATATTTTGGGTAGCTTTCACTAACACACAAAGTCCTAACAATTACAACTGACAACATAGTTGCCACCAAAAGGGGAAATCTTTTGTCAAGTTGTTTTCTGAGTCCTGTAAACTGTGAGCAAACATACACATATTGTATGATGATTATATTGTGAATTTCTCCACTTCCAATTGTTGACTGCTACTAGTAGGAGCTGGAAAATGTCATTGGTGTCTATTTATAAATACAGTAGAGTCTTGCTTATCCAACATAAATGGGCCGGCCGAACATTGGATAAGCGAAAATGTTGGTTAATAAAGAGGGATTAAGGAAAAGCCTATTAAACATTAAATTATGTTATGATTTTACAATTTGAGCACCAAAACATCATGTTTTACAACTAATTGACAGAAAAAAGCAGTTCAATACATGGTAACGTACTGTATTTACAAATTTAGCACCAAAACATCACAATGTATTGAAGCAGCAGTGAATCTGGGTGGGAGGCAGACTATGTTGGATAATACAGAATGTTGGATCAGCGAAAGTTGGATAAGCGAGACTCTACTGTAGTTCAAAGAGGAGAGACTTTCTCAGAAGGCTGGCCTACATTAAACATAATATATAGTTAAGATTTGTTCATCTTGTGGGCTGGTATAGTTTTGTGTATTAAATACATGTTTTCTAAATGTAGAATATTTTAATTGTAAAATGTCATGAGTGGTTTTTCTTTTTTCAAAAGCATCTAACAATAAATCATAACAGCCGTTCTACCCTAATATATTCACAGTAGGGGGGGACCCATGCTAATTAGCTAATATGTAGTGATGCCTCTTCATTTTTCCAAGACAGACAAGACGCAGTGTTCCACTGGATTTATCCCTGTCATGAGAGATAAAGAGCCTTGAAAGGGCTTTTGATTGTTTAATGGAGGAGGGGAGGGATCAGTCGTAGGAGGGTTTTCTTTCACTTTGCCCCATTGACCTCATCCATTTTGACATGGAATTGGATTGCAGCAGTGGAGAGAATAAATATTTTGTTATAACTGTGCCCAGCATCAATCATGCTATCATAAATGTCACAGAGTATGTGGAAATAATAATAGAAAAATGGCTTTTGATTGGGCTTTCTGTGAAATGTTACAAATCTCCAAATTGCTATTCTATACAGGCCTAGATGTCAAGGTATATTCATGTGTATGAGATGCGTGTCTATCTTTCTATGTCTCTGGGCATGTCTGCTAGCCTTTCAAATGAAAGGAAAGTTATTATTTCATATCTGGAGTCATTATTTCATTTCACATTTTTCATAGTAAAGTAGAGCTGACAGGTCCTAATTAGAGTCTGACATCTGTAATAATAAAATACTATTTATTGTGAGACAATATAAAACGTTGGGAATATCATTTAAACTATACCATACTGATGGTAAGAGGAATCTGCTATTTGAGAAATTCAAACAGTTTGCTCTTGGCTGATGCCTACTTTTTTCTAAGAACATCACAAAAATATGTGTCATTATAATTCTTAAGCACAGGCAAGATTGCCTGTATTACAAATTCAGCAGCCATCTGTTCTGGCAAAGATTTCTCTATTCTGGGACTTCACAGTGGCTTGTATCTTCTGCAACATTTTGCAGGATACAAATGATTGAAACAGAAGTGAAAATAGAAAGAAAGTAAACAAGTCCAAAGGCTATTAGAGCTGTTTTGAATTTGCATTCGAGGGTGAAGAGGGTGCTCCTACATCAGACATTTCTAATTGTCTTTGTTTCAAATGAGCTGTGGGTGGCAGAAATAAAATTCTTAACATATCAATAAAATACAGAGTTATGTAGCAACTGTGTGCATAAGTGGATGAAATCAAGAGCAAATTGCCTCATCATAGTATTTTTATTGTTACCCAGCTTAACCACTATGAGAATATGTAGATTTTCCAAAATCTCTGAAATCTCTCTTACAATCTGTAAAGTAACAACCCTTAGTAGTTGTTGGCACTCGTGCATCTCTGATGCAAGAGAAACTGGAACTGGTTAGCTTAGTGATAGTTTTGCAAAAAGACAGTGTCACTCTGCTACATTTCTGTAGAGCAGTGGTTCTCAACCTGTAGGTCCCCAGGTGTTTTGGCCTACAACTCTCAGAAATCCCAGCCAGTTTACCAGCTGTTAGGAATTCTGGGAGTTGAAGACCAAAACATCTGGGGACCCACAGGTTGAGAACCACTACTGTAGAGAATTGGAGAAAATCTATATTTCATTCATTTCATGTAGAGATGAAACATCATTTTTCCTTGCTTAATAATGCCTTTTAAACTCCCACCAAATGATAGTAGAACTAAGGAGAGTGGCATATAAATAAGAAAAAAACACGTACAGCTTTGTAGTGAAGCTTTCCCAAGAAGCCATCTCAGTTGTACATGAAAGAGATCTAACAAAACAACAATGTATGTGAATGACTGGCAAAACTCCGCCTCAGAGCAGGTTACTCCATGCTGTATTACTATGTCAAAAAGTACACAGTACTATGTCGAAAAATTCACAGTAGTAAAAGTACTCATTACAGAACTCCATTTACAACAGAGCCAAAGCTATTAACAGTGTACCCGAGCATTATAGATAAAGACAGGCATTCATAACAGAGCCAAAGCTACTATCAGGAATTGTACTCAAGCATTATTGATAAGACTGGCATGACACCCAAAGATGGTATAACGAAACAAGGGGAACAATCTGGGAGACCTTGTCGTGTTGCTGTTCCTGGTGTTACGAGTTAATCTACTTTAATATAGAAGTTGTTATTTTGGAAGCTGGATTTTTTTACTACCTCTGGTATTGGACTCAAGACCTTTGGCAGCTCTAGGACTTATTAGGACTGGTTATTTCTATATGCTTTTTTATGTCCGTTACTTATTTCATGAATAGTATATCGTTAGTTGAATTATAATATGAGAATTGTACTTTTACAACTGTGATTTTTGAAGTCTTTTCGACATAGTAATACAGCATGAAGTAACCTACTCTGAGGCAGAGGTTTGCGAGTCACGCACATGCATTGTTGTTTCGTTGGTTGTTGCCATAGATATCTGTGCATTACACACTGCGTTTTAATTAGTCGGTCACAGGTTCCAGCGAGGCCTACATTACCATGAAGATCTATTTCATGTGGAATTGAGTATCTTCTTGTGAGATCTTCTTAACAAAAGGATGGGTGGGATTATCTTCTGCCACGCTCCTTAGTTCTCTTTACACTCATTCCCATTTGAGGCCCAGGCAAGTGAGTGGGCTTCAAAGAGCACAGCAAAAGAAAAAGAAAACCAGTTCTTCATGAAAAAGATGTATACTAAATGCAGTGGGAATTCTCCTGCCATATTCATCAGCTTCTCTTATGTCCTTTTAGTCCCAAGGAGTGAGTATACAGAACTTAAGGACCTGACAGGAGAAAATAGAATCCACAATCAGCCTTATTGTCAAGATAATGTCTCATTTCTGTATGAAAGAGATCTATATGCTGATTGTAAAGGTTTATTCTTCTATCAGCCATTTTCTTAGGTATATGCTTTTAGATTTCACTGAATGAGCTAGAATGACATTTATCTCTTTTTCTTCTAACTGAGTCAAGTTTGGCGGGGCGCAAACTGGTGCTATTTTTGTCTGCAGTGATAGTCTAAGTCAGTGTTTCTCAAACTCAGCTCCTCCAGATGTTTTGGACTTCGGCTCCCACAATTCCTAACAGAAGGTAAGCTGGCTGGGATTTCTAGGAGCTGAATCCCAAAATACCTGGAGGAGTAGAGTTTGAAAACCACTGATCTAAATGAAGGCCAGCTAAAAGAAATCAAATCCTTGCATGATGAAAGTTCTGTAGCTGACTGGTACTTTGGTCCAACATTTTTCCTTTCCTGCGTAGTGTCATTCCACTGCACCTGCACAGTTAAGCTTCCCCTTTGTTGCTGAAAGCTTAAATAGCCTTAGTGGAAATGAGCCCATTACCAGCATTGACTGGTAGAACAGCTGCCATAGAAGTAGTCCACCATAATGATCCATGGATCTGTAGCCTCAAAAATGAATCTGGGCTTTATACGAGACTGCTCTTTTCTTGAAATCTATACCTGTTGCGGATCATACTGGTTGAGGTGATCAGTGGGGTTTGTTGTGGTGTAGATGTAACTCTCACAATGAATAGTCCATGGTAATCACTAATTTGTAGCGAGTTAAGTTTGAGGTTTTTATTGCTGTACTCCTTAGGACCCGGGGGGGGGGGGGCTGGTGGCACAGCTGGTTAAACCACTGAGCTGCTGAACTTGCTTATTGAAAAGTCACAGGTTCGAATCTGGGGAGTGGCATGAGCTCCCGTTGTTAGGCCCAGATTCTGCCAACCTAGCAATTTGAAAACATGCAAATGTGAGTAGATCAATAGGTACCACCTTGGTGGGAAGGTATTGGTGCTCCATGCAGTCATGGTGGCCACATGACCTTGGAGATGTCTACGGACAACGCTGGCTCTTCAGCTTAGAAATTGAGATGAGCACCACTCCTCAAAGTCAGACACAACTAGACTTAATGTCAGGGGAAACCTTTACCTCTACTTTACTTTGGATTCTTTTTTTTTTCTAAGGGACCTCCTTTTTATATTGGCTATTTCAGCTTTTATATTCTGAAAGGGTGATGTTAATTTCAGTGGATCTCTTTATGCTCATTTAGTCTTGGTGCATAGGAGAGTTTCTTTCCATTGTAATGACCTTGATGTGGAGTGTGATCTATTTGAGATCACATGGTTGTTAGAGGAGTGTTTCTGCCAATCGCTGAAAATACATGAAATAGATGCTTGGGGCATCTTCCTAACATTATTTTAGCAAAAGAATTACTATTTCATTGGTTTTGTATTTTTGTGATTTTATTGTGTGAATCAGTTTGAGATTTAAAACAAAAGCACTAAATAAAATGTCTTCAATAAAATGAGCACAGTTATTAATGTTCGCTGTTTCTCTCTCAGTTGCATGCAGCTCCATCTGATAGTACAATTTATTTCACTTAAAGTGAACTGCACTTGAATATAGTGCAATTAGTTTGACAACAATCAATTTAGAAAAGAATCCAACCTCCATCCCATTCATAGCAGAGAAGGATTTGTGAAAACTTAAATGCTCATTCTACCCTCTTTGGATCATGCATCCATATCGAATAACATAAACAGTCACCATGAGACCGTTGGTAACTGTAAGCTTGTTATTTCAATGTGGTGTAATTTGTCCATGATTTTTCTTTTGTTGGCCACATGTTTTAATAAAGAACTGCTGTTAGGTTTGTATTAATCACAGAGAGAGAAACCATTTGCATTTTCTCCCCTTCTGGCTCTAAATCCACCAGAAGAACACCTACTTTAGCAAGATACTGTCTATAAATTATCACTAACTGACACCAGAATGCTAGGATTTTGTAATGGGTTTCTCAACAATTGGAAGTAAAAGGTTAAGTGTATCCTTATGTTAGCAATAAACTCTGTTGTGTGCCCATTTGGCATTACACTGCTTTTATTTTAGATGACTTAATTTTTCTAAAATTTGTAAGTAAATCAGTGGAAATGTGTTCTCTACCACCAGTCCTAGAAAAAGCCATTTATATACCAGTAAGCTCGTACTTTAATAGTTATGATTATCTTGACATTTGCCTTTGCTTTCTTTTCCTGTGCTCCCTCCTCCACCAATGGTCGTTCATCCTGATGTTTGGATCAGCAGCAGGCGCAGCTCTACCATAAGGAAGCAGGTAATAAACACATAATACATTTTCAAAAAAATTGGTGAGGTTACTTTTATGGTCACCCAATATTTGTTTTATTCATATAACATGGTTTCATGCTGGGAAATTAATAGAACCAACCAAAACTACCCTGAATCAACTAAAATTGCTCGTAAGTGCAAGCTTTACATGGAGAATATACACTTGTTATATTGCTCCTGGTGCTCAAGAGGTGCATGTATCTGAGTCCTGAAACTGAAGAGATTGTATATGTTTGGAAGCATTTATTGGAAAGTGGGACAGAACAGGGAGGACCAGAAACTCTATAAGTCAACATTCTAGGGCCAAGTGGTATATGAATGATGATACAAAAACTGTAGGCTGGGTAGGTCACCTTGAGAAAATGCAATCATTTCAGCAGCTGAATGTGGCTGACTTATTATCATTAGTTTCATGCAGAAGGTTGGCATTAATTTTATTGGTTGGGGAGCAAAAACCTGACAAGTAAAGGGCCAGGGGCAAAAATCACCAACTATGAGTGCATCTACACTGTTGAATTAATGCAGTTTGACATCACTTTAACTTCCACGGCTCAATACTATTGAATCCTGGGAGTTATAATTTGGGCAGTTAGCAGCAATATTTGACAGAGAAGGCTAAAGACCTTGTAAAACTACAACTCTCATATTCTAAAGCATTAAGCCTTGGGCCTGCATGTACATCCTGTACTCTTATTTTTCCATTTTATGTTTCTTTGCTTACTGCTTCCATTTCCTGTTATATTTATGTTTTTTGACATGAGTCTCTGCTCCTCTGGAATTCCTTGTCCACTTGGCTAGATACGTTTTTGCTTTGTGTCACAAGCACTAAAGCAGTAATAGACCATCCGGGATTCTTTGGTGCCTCATGGATAATTCGCAATACGATATTGCAATATTGCCACAAATGGAGGAGCTATATCTTATTGTATTTGAACTATACAAGAGGAGCTAGTATGTTTCTCAAGGCCACCTTTGACTTGAGGCTTCATTGCAATCACTTATTTGTTTGTTGTTGCTGTTGATTAACTCGAACCATGCAGAAATCCCAGTTTAATTTAATTTGGCCAGAAGGTAATCTGTTTCTATTTTGAAGTCAGTTCTGTATCAGAGTAACAAGTTCCATGTGTTTCTTACTGATGATAGAGCCGGCAATTTGCTTTACATCTTTCTTTCACATTGAAGAAATTAAAACAAAATATTTTGCCAATGCAAGCTTTGCAGATAGGACATGCCAAAAATCCAGGATGTTGTTTTCTTCCAAACCCAGTGCTTTGTTGCATGCATATATGTTTGCTTTCATGTTTGTGTGTTATGAAGTTTTTCTTTTGGAGTAAAATGAAAGGTTTTATATGATCTTTGGTTGTGTTTATTTTTGTATACATTATGCACATATTAGGGGAATCATGGCAGAAAGGTTTGCCCTGGCTTGTAGAGTGGCTCCTCCTTCTGAAACTACATGAATTGGATGTTCTTTTATTTTCTAAACATCTAAACATCTTCTGCATATTTTTCTTTTAGAAACAGGAATCTTTGGTGACTTGGGTTTTGGAGAGGGCTGCTTTGCTTAAGCTTTCCAGAATTAGTGAATAGTGTGTAGAAGCTCTACGGCCCAAGAAGATTTGATGGTAATTGTGTGGCCTATCAAATCTTCTTGGACCATAAGTCTCAACAGCATAGCTAGTGCTTAGGAATGCCAGTAGTTCAACTACTTCTGGCAGGCCACTTCATTTATGCCACTGCTCTTAGGTTTTCTTTGGCAACCAGGTATACTCCAGGGAGTTTGGATTGCAACTCTCATAAGCCCTAACCAGCTCTCATAAGACCCATGTCCCAACCAACAAGTCAAAGAGTTGGAGTTTGTCCAAGGGTTTCAGGGTAATCCAAAAACATTACTGTTATCAGATTGCCTACCTCTCTCCCAAGTTTCTTCTGCATACTCCTGCATTAGTTTTGTGTCAGTTCAACACCATTTGACTTTCAATTCTCTTCTTATTTAAATTGACCTCATGAAATCACTTTCAAATACAGGCAGTCCCCAAGTTACAAGCATCTGACAAAAAAAAAAACCCGTAATAGTTAAGAATAGGGATGAGACAACAGGAAGTGAGATAAATCTACCTATCAGAAGGGAAATTCCCTCTTGAAAGAATTATCATGGGGAAAAGGAGTCTCCACTCAAGCTTTCTCACCAATCCTTCTTTCCCCAAACAGCCACATTTTTTCAAAATCCAATCATCACAGGGACAGAAAGTGAGAGGAAATCTTCTGAATAGGGGCAGAGATAGCAAAACAAACACCACAGGGTTGTTAAGCCTCCTAATGCTATCCAGAGCTAAGAAATGCATGTTTTTGGCTCGAGTTACACTTAAAAAATGTACCTGTTCTGACTTACATACAAATGCAACTTAAGAATAAACTTATAGAACTATCTTGTTTGTATCTTAGGGTCATCCTGTATACTCTAAGGTGTGTGGCCTCGAAAGAAGCTGTTCCAAGAAAGAGAGTCTTCTTTCTATTCAACTGCAATAAAATGTACATGACCATGACAAGGGAGAGAAAACATACCCAGTGTTATTTATTTATTTAGGAAATTCATATTCCGCCTTTACCCACTTAAGGTCCCAAGGCAGCTTATAGCCAATAAATCATATAATATACAAGTTAAAACCATAAATTTTAGATATGCTGTAAACTCTAATAAAATTCAATGAAATAAATTGTACTAACCCAATTGTATAAAACAAACCTAAAGGCCTTCCTATTTATGTAGTATCCTTGAATTATGATCCCCCAAAGGCTTTCTTGAACAGGAAGGTTTTAAGGCATTTTTTCAAAATGTTAGCAACATGCTCTATGTGGGGTTGCCTTTAAAGACTGTTCAGAAGCTTCAAGTAATCCAACAGGCGGCAGCCAGGTTGCTCACCAGAGCGGTGTACAGGAGAGTATACAATCCTGCTGTTGCATCAGCTCCATTGGCTGCCAGTCTGCTACTGACAGAATTCAAAGTGCTGCCTTTAGCCTATAAATCCTTAAATGGTTCTGGTCCAGCTTACCTGCCCGAATGCATCTCCCTTTATAAGCCAACTAGAACACTAAGATTTGCCGGAGAGGTCTTGCTCTCCATCCCGCCACCTTCACATATGTGATTGGCAGGGATGAGAGCCAGAGCATTATAGGTGATGATCCCTCAGCTGAGGAACTCCCTCCCCAGCAAGATTAGATCGGCCCCATCCCTCCTAGCATTTAGGAAACAACTTAATACCTGGTTTTTCAAGAAGGCATTGGGTGAATGACAGAAATATGGAAGTAGTTAAAGATAACCTTGGAATCAATGCAAGGCCTAAATGTTGCTAACGTTATGTCTGTGATTGTTTTTTTTTATATAGTTTTAATGGTTTTAATTTATTGTCATATGTGATTGAGTGATATGTGATGTTTTATATGTGTAAGGCATTGAATTTTGCCATTGATTATATTGTGAACCACTTTGAGTCACCCCATGCATGAGAAAAGCTGTATATAAATGCAATAAATAAATAAATAAATAGTAGAGAGAATGCAGGTCTAATATAATACAGTCCAGAGGGAGAGAGACACTCCTGAAAAGGACCTCTCTGTAGCACTCTTCACATGTAGAATGTCTCTGATGTTAGAGGATCCTAACAATTCCCACTGGACCTTAGAGATCTCCATGGGGTATACCAAGGAACCCAGCCTCTCAGGTAATCTGGACCAATGCCATGTAGGGCTTTAAAGGTCAACACCAGCACTTCGAATCAGGCCTGGAAACTAATAAGGAGTCAGCGCAGCGGTTTATGAAGCAGAGTGGTGTATTCTCCTGTGCTCGCTCCAACAACAGCCTAGCTGCCGATCTTTGAATGAATTAGAGTTTCCAGTTTTCAAGGGCAGCCTGACGTAGAGTGCATTTCAGTAATCAAGGCGGGATGTAACAGCCTACCACTGTGGCCAGGTCAGATTTTCCCAGGACCACACCAAGGACTCAGAAGAACAAGTATTGTTTGTATGTCCTTACAATTAAGACTGCATCCAGCAGTCCCAAGGCAGAGTTTGGAAGAGTTACTTTTTTAAGACTAAAAACTAGTACAGGAGGGAGAATTGGAGAATTGTCCAGAAGTAATTTTCCCAAGCTTGGATCTTAGATGGGAGCACATTTTGTCCTTAAGTTAGCTTCCCTTGTCCAATTCAATAGCAATTACCTAACCGACAAAAAGAAAGGGCATGCATCCAGGGATATCATGTCAGAAGGGGAGAGATTTTTCTTCTCTCGCCTTAATGTGGACTTCTGCACAGCAAGATTTACCTTCTCTCCAGTAGCATTGCCAAATGCATCTGATTTAGTTTGTCCCATAGACTGAGTCAGGAGCCATGAAGAACCAAACCCACCCCACTCTGCAACTCCCTGCTGTTTAATTGCACATTTCTAGATCATGTTGATGAAGTGCATGAAACGCAAGAATTAGCTTTTATATGGTAAATCGGAGTGCTTTATTTAAACAAATTGCAAGTAAATTTTTAAAGCTTCCAAATTCAGTCTTCTCCAGATCCCCTCAATTATTCTCAGTTGGAGGTTGGTCCAGTTATCTGTTTTTTCACCCCCACATATTAATTATAAATAGCCTAATTGCCTTATATGCAAGCGTAATTGATGAATGACTTAATGCAACAAGAGTAGAGTTAATGAAAAGTGGCAGCATCTTCATGTCAGTTGAAACAAACCTTGACATACAAGTAGCAAATTTAAATGTCCTGTATAAGTGGACAATTTATTTTTAATAGGTTTGCAGTCAATTGTTTCTGTTTTGATATTGTTGTATTTACTAAAAGTACTTCAATACTTTATGTTTTATATGGGAAGAAGCTTGTCAAGAAAAAACTCCTTCCTTTGGTTATGTACAGTTCAATATTAACAGTAGACGTGTGTCAAAACCAAGTGTCTCCATTGAAACTGTATGGTAGCATTACATTTAAAGCAATTCTGCACATAATCTTCCTTTACACTGCTTTTCATTGCAGGATATAACTGATTGGTAGAGTATGGGCACCAAGTTGGAAATCGTTATTTCATCTTCAGACTTAACCCAGATTTCTTACTAATTTATGCTTGTGTTGGTTGATCTAGCAATTTAAATATAAATCCAACGAGAGTTCATTCTTTCTTAGTGCATTCATACACAGTAAACATATAAGCACACTGTAATCGGATTCAGGCCTCTGTTGTAGCTTGAAGTTCAAAAGAATATGGATTTCAGAACAGCTTAATTTTTTAAAGCTGCAAAAAAAAAAAAGGGGGAACTGTTCTTTTCATCATGATTTCCTCCCTTTGTTCCTCAGGATTCCAGCCAAGCAATTCCCTTGGTGGTTGAGAGCTGCATACGATTTATTAGCAGACATGGTAAGTTCGGAAACAAGTGAACAAAATAGTAGTACATACAGTGCATGGTCTTATGACATCTTGGAGAGGAATAAATGTATTTATATGATCAGTTGTACATTGTTGGTTCTCTCCAGCAAATTCATGAAGATGCATTTGACTTTTCCTGTCCCACACAATTTTTTTTTTAAAAACCCAGTTAAAATGTATTACTTATTTATTTAGAGCATTTGTATCTCGTCCTTGTCAACCCCCGAAGGGGGACTCCAGACGGCTTACAATTGGCAGTCATTAGATGCCGACAAAGAAACAGTTAGAACACAATTCACATAAACAAGTTAACAGCAATAAAAATACATTTAAAAAGCAATAAAAATACATGAAAATATTGGCCCTTAAAATAAAATTTAGTTTGTATCTGAGTGCAAATCATTCTGCCATGAAGATCCATGCCTGGATTCTGGGCCCCTCCGAACCTGAATCAATTCATTCCTCTAAATTAGTCTACTGCACCCAAGTGTCATGAAGATCATTGTCCCATTGCCAATGTGGAAACAAAATTCAGCTACTAATCCTGTTTACTTTTGTACATAAAAGGGGTTAAATGTTTTGTTCTTTGCCATATTCAGGAAAACAGCTTAAATAGGCCCTCAATGGCCTTGAAATACTGTCATGGGTAAACAGTGAAATAAATAGAAATCATGCTTGGCTTAAGAAAACGCACATTGTGATATGACAGATTCAAAATAAACAACTAGAACACGTCTGTTTTGTGATTGCTTTCAGTATTTCCCTTACTGCTTTCTTGTGGATTAGTATATTATACAGTATCCTAGTAATGTGGTCTTTAAGGACAGTTATGTTTTAAATGCATTTAAGCTGTTTTTACTTAGTATTTTTAAATAAGATTCATTATGAAATACTTTAAATAAGTTTGGAATTACGAATTGTTTTGAAGTGTTGATTGTGGATTTTGTGTGTGCATGAGGTTGTGTGTGGATTTTGTTTAAACCTGTACTGTATGCTGCCTTGTGTCCCATGTATACAATAAAATAATGAAATTTAATAATAATAATAATAATAATAATAATAATAATAATGAAATTAAACTGGGTTATGTTTACATGTACAGTTATCAGTTTATTTTTTCATAAATATGTTTCTAATTGCTCAATAATTTGAGATTAAGTATAACAATAACATTGTTTGCCATTTTATTTATCTAATAGTGAAAGGTGAACAGACAGGAGTATTCATTTGCATTACAGCAGGGATATTCATTAGCATTACAGCAATGATAATTAATGATACTACAGTTGTACCACTAATTTGAGTTCATGTGATTGTGCCATGACAGATGCCTGTACAAACAGACAGTTGAAAAAAACGCCATTTGTTTGATTATTTTGGATCCCATTGATTTCTCTTCCTCTTTTCTTTACAGGCCTGCAGCATGAAGGAATATTCAGGGTGTCAGGATCTCAAGTTGAAGTGAATGATATAAAAAATGCATTTGAGAGAGGTACATTTTGAAATTTCTCTTATATCACATTCATGTTTGATACAGGCAGTCCCCAACTATTTAGGTTCTTTAGGTTTGTACTTAAGTTGAATTTGTCTGTGTAACATCTACCGATCTATCTATTTTAAGTGCAACATCTATCTATCTATCTATCTATCTATCTATCTATCTATCTATCTATCTATCTATCTATCTATCTATCCACATACACGCACACATGTATAAGCTTTGGATAGCAAAGGAAATGGTGACGACCCCTGTAGAGTTTGTTTTGTTGTCTGTGCCCCTGTTCAGAAGATTTCCTCTCACTTTCTATTCCTGTAATGATTGGATTTTGAAAAAGTGGCTTGTTGTGGAAACAAGGTTTGGTGAGAAAGCTTCAGTGAAGACACCCCTTTTCCCCATGATAACTCTTTCAGGAGTGAATTTCGCTATATCTATAGGTAGAAATCTATAGGCAGATTTCTCTCACTTCCTGTTGTCTCACCCCAGTTCTTAACTATGAACCATTTGTAAGTAGGATTCGGGGTCCACATGTACTTAATAGTTCAAAAAAGGCTTTCATACAGTGGTTGCAGGCAGACTATCTCCACCCCCACCCCCAATGAATAATAATCTTTGACATCTAAAATCACTTGGGATTGTGTTTCCTGTAACATTATCAAATACAATTCAAATGGACCTGAACTCTTGCTATGTCAGATTTCTAGAAGGTATAAATTTTGAAGACATGGGGCGTTACCAGTCTGGCCTTCCTAATTATTTCATTTCATTTTTGATGGGTTCTGAAATTTTTGTAATTGACTGTATTTCTTGAGACATTATGGCTTCAATCCTACAATATATTAACTTAAAATTAACCTAAACACTAAATCAAAGGATTGTTTTCAAGTCACTGCTATTATGTTTTTGGCCAAAACATAGAATCCACATTTACTAGTCATGTTGTAAGCCTGTTCTTAATGATTCAGTGTTTTACAGTCACCATTTCTGTCTAGTATGAACACTGTACTGTGACAAATTCATGTTAAATGATAATGTTTAGGATTGTAAAAAGAAAGTAGGAAGTGTTGAAATAATTTTTGTGACTAATTGCTAGATGTGGGTTCAACAGATGAATCCTCTAGCTATATCGTTGTTGTTCTTCTCAGAGAGAATCTCACTACCATCAATTTCCATTCATTCATTTATTGCCAAAAACATTTTAATCAACTATTTTTCTATGTTGTGAGTCGGTTTTGACTTCTGGGTTACTTCAAGGCTTTTTAAAAAGCTCTCTCCTGGATCTGAAACAGCTGTTGCCAGAATAGCATCGCATAACCCAAGGGAACACAAGACAGTATTTTGATTTTTTTTCAGGTTCAAAATGGGGTCAGAGAATGTAAAGCAATGATGCTACAAATGGTACAGTTTGTAAATTATGTCTTGCATTTTATGTCAAGATGACAGTGGCCAACACATACTAAGTTCCACGAATGTTAGACCTGTTTCTGAGTCGGTTTGACATGCTGATTCCAAAAATGGGACTACTTTTTCCCTATCAGCTCTAGTTTTGGAGATACAGAACATAGGCCATCTGCTAGTTGCCATCTGCTCACCCATGGAAAACCGTGATAACCATATCTAAGAAACTAAAACTGGCATGGTCTATCCAATGCAGTTTTCTGAATTGCATTGGATGGCACCTCAAATAACCGGCCTAAAAACCAAGACACAAAGGAAAAAAATGCTTTGTTGGTCTGCATAATAGTTGAGCCTTGATTTGCAATTATTTTCATTAAAGCTTTCCCATTATCATATCTGATATTGTTGATGGGTTGTCTCTAGAATCTGTCTTTTTCAGTGGTTATCTTTTTTGTATATTTGGTTATAGTTAAACACATACTCTAGTAGACTAACAGACCAAAGAACTGAGTACTTATGCAGTTTAGTAGGATTACCAGTATATCATTACCTAAATGTCAGGCTATGTGTGAGTGATAATACGATCTTCACTTGCTTATATCAATGAAACAGAAATAATGTAACCATAATGTTGAGGTTGGGGTTAATTGTACGAGAGCACTATTCCTTCCTTTTCTAGAACCCCAAATAGCATCACATGCATCATAGTGACTCAGGTGGGAAAGCATATACCCAGAATTAAGAAGGAGAATAATACTGAGAACATACTCAATCCAGGACTCTATTATCAATTCCAGAACCAAGACTGACAATACTGTAATGCAACAGTTGTGGCTTTGTTCACACTCACCCACAGACATTCTTTTTCCGCAAACTGATTTAGTTATGGAAACTTTATTAGTTGTTAGACAGTACTGCTATTGTTAGACTATTTGAAGTCAGAAACTCTTGGCAATTGGAGCAAATCACTGAGGATCACCAGAAGACTCATCTTCTGCCTATCTGTGCTGCAGTTTTATTAACGTTTTTTCCTGAATGCCACTCCTTCTTGAGGACATAAGGGAGCAAAAAACCTTTATACAATATCCACTGTGGCACACTTGAGGTCCCTCCTATGTTTTCCCTCTATCTCTTTATATTATTAACAGAGAACTCCATATTTTGTTTTCTTAATATGTGATATTTTCTGTTTGCTCTCGTTTTGTTCCTGTTTTGCTGTAACCAGGGGAGGATCCACTGGCTGGAGACCAAAATGACCATGATATGGACTCAATAGCTGGAGTTCTAAAGCTTTATTTTCGTGGGCTGGAACATCCTCTCTTCCCCAAGGAAATCTTTCATGACTTGATTGCATGTGTCAGTAAGTAGCCGAAGAGTAAATTGAATCAGTTGGTGGTGTGACTTGCAAAGAAATTTAATCAAAAATAAGGGTTCTACTTTACATGAGTTTCTCTTCTCTTCCTTCTACCCCTTGCAGCTACACACACACACACACACAGTTCTGTTTTGGAACATCTCCCAAGCCTGCAGAGTACAGCAGGTTTTAGAGAAGTGACATGCAGTTTGTCAGTGGTGTCAATTCCATTGTGAGAAGGACATCATTTGTTCTAAGCCATTGTTGTTATCATAAATTGATGAGAAAATATTGAAGAATCTTATCCTAAAAAGAATATAATGTATTTTTATTGAACAAAGGAAAAGTATTTCTGGCTCAACTGCATCAGGATAAAATGCCTTCTAAAATTTGTTACAGGTTTTTTCACTTAGAAATAGGTTTTCTCCCCTTCTTGTTCACCTCCCCCACAATATATAGTAGGCTTGTGCACAGATTTGTTTGCCTTAGGCTTGTTTGGTTGGTTCAGAAGCCCATAATGGCATGGGCTCCACCACCAGTTTTTGCCAGCCGCAACAGAACAGTGGCTGTCAAAACTGTCTGCTTTCGGTTACAAGTGGAGTATGGGGAGGGAGGCAGTCGCTAGAAGGAATGAGAGGAAAAAGGCACCACTCCAGCACCTCCAAATCAAGAGAGAAGAGAGTGCTTTTTAGAGGAAGCCCAGGGTAGGATATCTCCAGGTTGATCCCTCTTCCTTCCCTGGGAAATGGGAAGCCTCCTTAAAATGCCTTGGAAAACTGGCCTCCTGCAGGGAGAGAGTTTGTGCGCCTGCAGCTCCTGTCTCCTCTAGAGTAGAAACAGCTTTATCGTAGCATTAAACCCAAAGCAAAAAGGAGATTGAAGCACAAGGGGGAGAAAGGCACCACTCCAGTGCCTCCAAATCAAGAGAGAAGAGAGGGCTTTATAAAGGAAGCCCAGGGTAGCATATCTCCAGGTCAATTCCTCTTCCTTCCCTGGGAATTGGGGAGCCTCCTTAAAATGACTTGGAAAACTGCCTACTGCAGAGAAGGAGCACGCGCATCTACAGCTCCTGTCTCTTCTAAAGTAGAAACAGCTTTAACAAATCATTCAACCCGTTCTCCTCTACAGACAAAAGGGAAAGAGTGGTATCTCAACTTTGATGCTTTTAATCCAGGTTTTAATGAAGGATATAAGGATAAGCACAATGCCTAAAATGACAGGAAGGGGAGCCTGTAGTAAGTCCCTCGCATGGGTCGGATAGAAAATGAATCTTTTGGCTTCCCGGATCGAAAATGGATTTCTGCCCTCCCAAATTTGGGAGACTCCTGAAAAATGGATTGGGACCCCAATCAAAATCAGGGACACTGAAACAGATCACTGTTTACCCGGATTGCACAAGCCTGATATATAGTTAAAAGATAACATTTTACAAGTTGCAGCTTTTTATTATTAGCCATCCTTTACATCTCAAGAAAATGTTTCCTTTTCAACCCCAACACTGATAGGATTTAAGCTATCTGTTATTAAAAACCATGATCCTGGCTTCCCAAAACATTTGACAGTGTTTCAGGGAAACCAGGCAAGAGACTTGAATTGTACAAGGTTCTTGTGGAGCTTACTAGGATCTGAAGCACATCTTGCTTCCAGGATGTAAAGATCAGATAGTAAACAGAATCACTTCCTCACTGGCCTTGGCCCATTAGCAGTTCATGTCTGTGTGTACATGTCAATGTCTGTGTGTACATGTTTTTAATGGTTCGATTCATTACAATTCCCTGTATACACGCATAAATAGTTCATCTGCCAATTCGCTCGGTTTAACACATTGAAACAACTAATACTACATCAGAGAGATGCTGTGTTAAAGATACATACATCAAAAATAGGTTTCTCTGTAAAAACCTTCTACACAAAGTTTTACATTTTATTTCATTTTATTGAATTTTGTGTCTTTATGGTTGGACTGTAGGTGAACTTTTGTGCATGTGCTGTGTCTTTGTCTGGCTATCTCCTTTAACCAGGAGAGATTTTTTTTATGACCATAAGAGATGTTCCTTTTGATGAACATTGAAAATGACTTTCCTCAAAGTTAAGTTGGTAATTTACAAGGTTATCATTTCAAGGGTACTTTAAAAACAAGAAAGGAACATTGTAAGTTTGTCCTTGTGACTGAGTTTAATGATAAACTCCTTAGTGCTGACTCATTCAAACAGTGAATTGCAAACAGTATATCCATTGTCCCAGTATATGAAGGTCCATGATGGAAGCAGACTTTGAAGTAGCATGTAGGAGAGCTCCTTTTAAAAGGATCTGTGTTTCATTCTCCCAAAAACCGGGCCTAGGCGGTTTAACTCTTATTATTAGATGAAAAGAACAGTCTGTTGCCAAATAATTCTGGACTTCGAGGCCAAGGATTTGTGCTGCCCACTTTTTTCCCATTAGTCTGCTATAGACAGAGCTCTTTACCTCATCTTTCAGTTATGTTAATCTATCAGTGGAATAATATGTTAGAGATCTCTCCTACACCACCCACCTTACTGAGCTAAGTGAAGGACTTTTCTGTTGAATCAGCCTCAACAGAGACAGTTTGTAGATCTTCCATGCTGCCCAGATTCAGAGGATCCGATCCTGACTAAATAAGCTACTACACAATTATAGCACCATGATTGTACTCCTATGACTCCATCCTAGAGGATCCTGTGGCAAGGCAGGAAAGCTTTCTGGCAGAGTATTCTGAGTAACTATCTTAAATAGGCAAATACCAGGATTTCATAGAATTCACTCACAGCAATTAAAACAGAATCATTGTGCTATAATAGCAACCTTAAGGAAAATTCTCAATTGATTGATCTACCAGTCTATCGATCTATCCATGCATACACACATTCACAGACACATAAACACTATCAGTTAACTTCACCACAGAACAAAAGCAGTAGAAGGCTCCAGATGCTTAGGCTGCATATTTTAGCAGCCAAATCCATCGTTTCCAATTGTGAAGAATGCTGGAAATTGCGATCCCACAAGACCTGGGGACCATATAACCGCTTTGAGGGGCTGAGAAAAGCGGTATATAAATGAAGTAAATAAAATAAATAAATAAATAAATATGTTCTAAAGGTGGTCTCACATCGTTTGCTTCATTGTGAAATGGTTAATTTTCCTTCAGTCATATTCCAGGCAGTGTTCAATAACTGGTTGGCCTCTTCTGTTCCTGGTACCTCTCCAGTCACTGCAGCTCCAGTGACTACCAGTCAGTTCCTGGGCTCAGTTCAGAGTGCTGTTTATGACTTCTTGAGCCCTGCACAGCTTGTTCCAGGCCTCCTGAATATTGGAGCATATCAGGGCTCTAGGATCTTCACCAGAGTCCTCAGTCTTGATCCCAACATCTCACTGTACCTTTGATAGAAAGGGCCTTCTTAGAGGCCACTCAAGGAACTCCATCCTCGTCCTTCCATCATCAGGCAGAAACTTTAAAAAAAAGATCTAATACACTGAGACTGATTGCTTTTTTTAGAAAGGACTTTTAACATGTCATTTCTGTTTTTAGGTTCTAGATATTACATTTGAATTTTAATGATCATCTTGTGTATTTTTTTTTCATAAATGGGTAAACTTGTAAATTGCCTTGAATCCCAGTTCTGCTGGGATGAGAGAGATAGACAGACAGTCTCTTGTGTTTTATACTGTGGTTCAATCTCAGAATAGCTATGCAAGAAAATATTTGTCTTTCTATTCTCTCTCTCTTTCTCTCTCTCTCTCTCTCACACACACACACACACACACATACAGAAAGAGCGAGAGAGTGTAAAGATTACATGTGCTTCAAATTTTTATTACATGGCATATTGGCATGCTTGAAGTGATAGTGAGGATACAAACGCATCTAATAAGAATAGGTTGCAGCATATGTTTCATATGACAATCCTAGATCAGTGATTTTTCCCTTCAACATTTTTAACTTGGTGAACTGTTTTAATGTATATTTATAACTATTTTAATGTATTCTGCTGTATTGTATTATGTGTTTTGTATTGTATCAGCATTGAATTCTTGGAAGCCCTCCTGAGTCCCTCCTTGGAGGTCGAGAAAGATGGGATATAAATGTTCTAAATAAATAAATAAATAAGTGTATAACCATTAAGTAGCCCTTGGAACAGCATGGGATTTGCATAGATACTGCAATAGAAATCATTTTGTATGGTTTAAAAAGTAATCTTTGCTGCTCTCTCTCTCTCCCCCCCCCCCCCCCCCCCCCCCCCCCCATTCCTCTAGCAATGGACAATCTGCAAGAGAGAGCTCAGCACATCCGAAAAGTCCTACTGGCTTTGCCTAAAACCACTTTGATTGTAATGAGATACCTCTTTGCATTCCTCAGTCAGTAAGTATTCCTTAAAAGCAGAATTACAACATTCTCCCAGTCTTTAGGATTCCCATTCCTCAGAGACCTTTTACTTCCACCCTTAACGATGTCTCATAAGTCAAAAAACTGGACTGGAAAACAGCACATGTTTTATGAGATATTCTTGAGGCATTTCATTCTGCTTTGTGCTTAACCATTAACTGGCACCCTGCAAAGCCCAAATTGGAGCTTTGGAGCTTTTATTCACACAAACCTGTGGGTTAAAAAGACTGTGTTACTGTGGAAGACACTTATTAATTCTTAATGCACACAGTAATTCTGCCTACACATTATTAGGCAGATGTTCTGTGTAACAGGCAAATTGTGGAGGGAGGGAGTTTGATTGAGTACGCTTTGTATGAACATGAGAGGCTGAATAATTGGTCCTAAAGACTGGATTTTGCTAGCTAGCCAAATTCATTTCTCATGCATAAATAAATAACTAATTTATCTACTGGAATTTAGCATACCCTTTCTGTAAGACTTGTAAGGAGCGTAGGAGGTAAAAATGTAAAGCCTGTGATAAAATATCAAATTAAAATTCAGCCTTTGTACAAAATATCTTCCCTTGTTAAAAATCTTTTTTTTCCTGGACATCAAAAGCCAGCTCACATGGAAAGTTCCTGAAATACTTCCAAAGGAAGCTCTGATTGAGAAAAGTCTTTGCAGGAATAGAGCAGCAAATATTTGAGGCAAAGGCCTTCTCTTTTGCCCCTCCATTGTATTGCAGGTCAGATAACAATAATTGAATTGTACCTTTGATCGCTGCAGAAAAAAGTTTCTATATGGCAATAGGAAAGTGGAGCTGAGGAGGCCCATCAACCATAGTAAACCAAGTTGTATTGAAGGTTTTCATGGCCGGAATCATTGAGTTGTTGTGTGTTTTCTGGGCTGTATGGCCATTCTCCAGAAGCATTCTCTCCTGACATTTTGCCTGCATCTATGAGGTTGTGAGGTATTTTGGAAACTCAGAGGTTGTGAGGTATGTTGGAAACTAGGAAAATGGGGTTTATATATCTGGGAATGTCTAGGGTGGGAGAAAGAACTTTTGTGTGCTTGAGTAGGTGTGAATGTTTCCATTGGCCACCTTAGCAATTAATGGCCTAGCAATTTTCAAATTGTGGCTTCTTACTGCCTGGGGGAATCCTTTGTTGGGAGGTGATTAGTTGTCCCTGATTGTTTCTTGTCTGGAATTCCCCTGCTTTTGAGTGTTGTTCTTTATTTACTGTTATGATTTTAGAGTTTTTTAATACTGGTATCCAGATTTTGTTCAGTTTCATGGTTTCTTCCTTTCTGTTGAAATTGTGCAACCCGGAAAACCAAGCTGTCCATTTAAACAGTGGTTATCTCATTTAAGAGGTTTTCACTGTATCGTGCTGACTAATGCTGTAAATACTCATGACTAGGATTTGGTATTGAATGTTGTCATGGGATTTTACCGTTCTCACCATTTCTTGGGCAACTGAAGGAGAAAGAAAGCTTGGGTGTGGGGAAGGGTGCAAATGGGAAAAATCAGAAGGGTTAGCTGGTTGCCAGGTTCATTGCAGCCTGTGAACCATGTGGCACCATGGCTTAATCACACTTTCATCTCTTTTTGGCCGAGTATGAGGTGTTGCTGCTTGCAGCTGCTATCCAAACAGGGTGCACAAAGCAACATGCCAAAGAAATAAATCTTTGGCAACCACGTTTGATCAGCATAAAGAATAAACTGTGAAAGAGAACTAGATGATGAGTCTCCCCCTCCCCATTTTACCATAAATCTTTATGTGTTAATTGTGGGGATGTTCAGAAAATGAAAAACATGCTAGCTGTAATATATAAAATGAAAGTGTTAGCCAGCAGGAAAATGCTGTGCATATGCACTCTAAATATGCATACAGTGCAAATTGTCTCAGAGAGACACCATCGTATGGAAGTAAAACTGAATCTGTTGGAAGGTGTTACGTTTTCAGTTCCTGCACCAAGTGCCATTAGTTCTTCATACGGTACCCATGTTTTCCAGGTAACCTCAAGAAATTCTTGTTATATTACCTCAGTTTTTAAAAGCTGAACAGATGGAGCTAATCTCTCTTCCTTTTGTGTTGTCAAAGGCTTTCATGGCCGGAATCACTGGGTTGCTGTGAGTTTTCTGGGCTCTTCCTTTTGTTCATTCACTGTGCGCTGGTAGTTATTACTGTTTTTGTTCATGGTCACCTTTTTCCTTCCATTCTTCTGCAGTTTATCTCAGTTCAGTGAGGAGAACATGATGGACCCCTACAATTTAGCCATCTGCTTTGGACCTACACTGATGTCAGTGCCTGAAGGCCACGATCAGGTCTCCTGCCAGGCTCATGTCAATGAGCTCATCAAAACGATAATCATACAACATGAAAATGTCTTCCCAGGACCAAGAGAACTGGAGGGCCCTGTGTACACCAGGGGTGGAAGCACTGAGGATTACTGGTACGGTAGGCAGTAATGGGAAACAACTGAACGAAGGGGACACAGTGCAGGATTATAGTTTGATGTGTAAATGGCATACTTCAGCATTGCTATCGTTTATCAGTTGTAAAACCTAATCCCAAAATGTTTCTGAAGTGCATATGGTGCCAAGACAAAATGGCCATAGTTCAGAATCCTGAAGACAATAGATATTCCCATCCTAAACATATAAGCCCTGAGTATTCATGACTGACTGCAATTCATTATACTGAAGGAAACTAATCCAGTCAGAGTTGTCCGTGAAACGGTATATAAAGATATTATGGTAATTACTTTAATCTGCTGGTGAAAGCTTCACAGCAGACATTGCTCAAATTCATCACTGACATTCTTCTCATTTCTCTGCATGTCTTGAGCCGACTTTAACTTCAGAGACAAGGTCGATAGCAGCTGAACCTAGAAAGCTGCAGCGTGGTTTAATTTTCAGAGCCGCAGCGACATGGGGGAAAACCTGAAACCTTCCTTTTGCTTCAACTCAACACACAGGGGGCCTGTCTGTGCATTCAGTCTAAAGCCAACATCTGGAAACAATTCAGAGGCCCAAGCTCCTGTCGTGGGGTGCAATTGGGGGCTGGGGGGAGAAAACAGGCAGCGGTTGTAGTGAGAGAAGGGAGTGTGGATCCAGTGTTTGTTGTAAGAAACCATCCCAGAATGTCATCTGTGAGTGGATCATCAAAAATTGCTGGTGCATCATCAGAAGTATCCTCTGAACTCCGACACCAGTTATTGACATTGAACCTCAGGCTGTAAATTATTTCATATATTCCAAAAAGTGAAATTCCACATGACAAAAGATGCTTGAGCAGGTTAAAAATGATCACAACAGTATAAAAGAAATGGGCTTCTGTTCAGTAGTGTTTTCAGTGGGGAAGGGGGTCTAGAAAATTAGTTTCTTGCTGCTTCAGCTGCTGGAGTTTTAAGGAAGCTTCTAAGCTAATGGAAGATGATGGAAGAAATTTGCCATGGACAGTAGGCTCTGAAGTGCCTGGAAAAAAATGGTGATGATAAAGATTCTGTGTTCTAGAAAACTCTGGGAACAAAGACCAACTATAGTCATGGACAGCTAAAAACGCGTCTTCTTTTACTGGATTCAGAGTTAAACAATGCCTTGCCCAGAAATACTAAGTACTGTATAATAGGTCTTGTAGTTGTAACCATTTTTCTGGAATATAATGTATTTTTTTTCAATTGTTTTATGAAAATAAACATTATACATATCAGTATAAGCTTTCTGCGGCTTTGCAAGTAAACAGTAAAAAACACTTTCAGAAACAAGTTGGCTCCATTATTCCCATTGGCTGGAACCAGGTTTGTGTTCTACTCCATGACTTTGCCACATTTTAGTCATGAAACAAATTCCACTGGATAAGTTTTTGTCATGGTGTCATTGTTTTTTTAAAACTAATAGTCTTCAAAGGAAGATTGCAAGATTGAAGTAGACTGCAGATTCAAATAACAGGGATATCCCTGTTTGACATGTTTCCACATATGTCAAGGAAGAGAGTTCAGATGCCTAAGCCTACTAATCTGTCTCACTGATGGGAGGAAGAGTAAGAAAATGATGGCAGAAGAATGGTGTCCAGATACATCCCCATTAAGTATATTAAGTAACCCAAACAACCATGCCAAGTCCACCTGTTTCTATTGCACATGTATCTTTGGTTCCTGCAACAGATGTTCCTCATCCTTTCAACTGTGACTGTCAAATAGACTTTTCACTTCATTTTTATTTTATACACATCCATTTCTGTCATCCACATTTTGGTATCACACAGCTGGCTTTCCGTGACTTCCCATTCATTTGTGTTATAAATCTTTGTGAACTTCTACATGGTTCAAGACATGTATGATAATACTACTGAAAAGTGTTGGGTGTTGAAAGACTTCTGAAAAAGAGTTGGAGCACTGTGAATGAGTGTTGTAGTGCTCACAAGGGCAGGATACAAGCAGTTACCCAGTACAACATGAGGATGAGTTAAGAATTGCCATACTTTTGTTTTTTTAAAAAAAAAATATTTTTGTCTTATTAAATGATGCACCAACTTAATTCAGGCAACGTGTCGCCACCAGTGATGCATCATAATTATTACAGATTAAGTGAATGGCAGATCCTTGGTCTCAAGAGTTTTGCATATGACACAAGGATCTTCTACTGGCTATGCTAGTTTGCATCTAAGAAAATGTAAATATTTTTTCTGTGCCAGCCTGCTCACTGTTTCTTTACAACATCCAAGTGGCCACATAAAAGTTAGTAAGAAAAAAAATCTCAAGAGTCTAGAGGAAGTAAAAGAATTCTGAATGAACAAAGCCGATTGTGAGGCACAAATGACACATCAACATTTCTTTTTTATATGATATTTTTATTATAAGTTTCCAAATTACAATAAATAGTGAGAAAAGGGTATAACATAGGGAAGGAGGGGGAAAGGGTAGTTGAAGTATGGTAAAAGGGAAAAAAGAAAAAAGAGTGGGGGGCAATCCCTGGGAATATGTCAAAAGGGGTGGAAAATATGGGGGAAGTGCAAAAAGGATTGGGTATAGGGTATTTGTGCTTCCATTTTTCCTTATATTGGTTTTAATTTTTCTTATAGTCCTGTTTATTTTATTTATTTATTTATTTACTACATTTATATACCGCTCCTCTCGGCCCACAGGTGACTCGGAGCGGTTTACAGTCAATATCAAAGACATAAAATACAATTTAAAAACAATCAATTTAAATATAAAACCAAGTAAAACAATCAATATCAATAAAAACATATATCATGTCAAGACCCAGAAGCCTCAGTAAGCCAAGACACAGTGTAAAAAGGTCCAAACACAAATTTATTGTTCACAACAGAGTCTTTGGAGCACTTAAATTCAGTGCCCCAAGCTCAGCCAACAATTTGGCATCAAAAAGAAAGCGTTATGAGGAATTGAAATAAAACCCGGATTATTCTGGCGTTAAACTCAAACTTGCAGCAGAACGCTGAAAACACACAGTTCAAAAGCACAGAACAAAGAAGGCAAAAAACAGTGTCCAGTGAATGTCCGAGGTCGAAGCACGTGGTAAGCAAGTAGTCCAAGTCCGAGTGGCAAAAAACGTTGGCCAAACAGTCTGGAGTCAAGCAGCAGAGTAGAAGTAAACACAGGAATGCAGGAACACAGGAATCTGTAGTCCAAGGACCCAAACTCGAGAATTGGCAGCAACAAAGATTCACACCCCAAAAAAGACACTTTGCCTTCTGACAAGAGCCATACAAACAAAACCCATATTTATCCTAAAGTTCCTCATTAGAGGATGATGATCTCCCCACCCTTTCATCATCGCTCTCAGCTGCCTTCAACCCTGCAGCTGAACCCGAGCGCCCATCCCTCCACCTCTGCCAGCGTCTGTCAAGACTTAGATCTTACCAAGTGCTTCCCGGTTGCCAATCCCCTGTAAACCCCTCAAACTCAAATCCCCTGTAAACCCCTCAAACTCCCCTCAAAGTCTTTACTTCCTCTTAAAAACTCATCACTGGAGGTGGGTTGGTTGCAAATGTCCCTAATATCCTGAACACGGGTCCAATCGAGTTCATCCTCCTCCCCCATATCACTCTCGGACCCATCACTCCTTTCGAACCCCATGAAGTCCTCGTCCTCTGTAGGAGCGCTAAGTACATCACGGATACGCTTCCTTTGAAGTTCTTCGTCGGACTCTTGATCTCGAGTAGCCCGCTTGACTCCCCTGCCTTCCTCCCCATCTCCCATTTCACAGTTGGAGAAGCCCTCAAAAGTCTCAGAATCACTCGGGGCCATGATTATTTCCCTAATGCGCTTTCGCTGCTGCTGCTCCTCCAACACCTGAGCAGCCCTCTTCTCCCTTCTACCAGTAGTAGTAACGTTACCATCACGCTGAACTACAACATATCAATTTGAGTCTCCTAGATAAAATCGTTATCCAATAACATCGTTGAGTTGTTCCGTTTTTGCTGCTTTTTGTTGTGTCCCCAGTGATGGCATCTTCTATGAACTTTCTTCTTTTTAGATTAATAATTTTACTTTATTTTCCTTCAACCATTTTGTGAAAGGAGTCCAGTCTGTTGTTTTTATATACCTACCTTGTGACTTGGAAACTAATGATGTTAATTTATCCATACTCATAATTTCTAGCATTTTCTCTGTCCATTCTTCTCCATACTCCATACGCAGGCATAGACTAACCTCGCTGCTGTGGTTGCGTATGGGAAGAGTTTGTCTTTATTTGTATTCCAATTCATATTTGTCATCTCTAATAAAAAAAATACTCGGGGTGCATTAGGAATTTTTCTTTCAATATTTTTTTGCATAATTCATGAATTTCTTTCCAAAATTCTCTTGCTTTGTCACATGACCAAATATTTCTTTTCTACTATACTTCATTATACTGTATGGACTACATTAGATCAAGATCTTTTTGTGGATTTGGCTTTCAAATTGAAATATTTATCTTGCTTTGAAAATATAGAAAGACTGCCTAACACCTACTATGCTACAGATTCTTCAGAAGACTGAAATGCTGCAGATTTATGTGATGAGAGGCTCAGTTTTGTTCGATGTTTACACGAAGCACAAACATAACTGCTAAAAATGGCCACCAGTTTATGCCTACTGTATGTTTTTTTGTTTAGTCTCTTTGATAGGTCCCACTTTACACAATGTTTTAATTGATGATGATCCCATCCTATCAACAAAAAATGTGTATTATTGAGAAGTCTGAAATGTTTCAGTTGACATACCTTCTTCCTTTGCTCATAGCAAAATGCAAGGTTCTATCCAGGTCACTACAAAAGTAGTGATCCCAGTCAGAAAGGCACAAAGAGCAAGGTCTTTCCTTCCTACTTCACCATATGGACATTCACCATGCCTAGCACTTAGATGTGGAAGATGTTTCTATTTTTCAGTCTAGATTTTTCCTCTCTCCATTCCACTGAAAGAAGGAACATGAACTCAGATCTTTTCTCTTTGTCTTAAGAGGAGAGGAAGATATCTGATTCAGAATATTTAAGAAGCACACAGAGTGGATGGATGAATGTAGAAGAGGGATTATCAAAAGAATAATAGGGCTGTGTCATGACCTATGGAATTCTTTGTACAAGTGTATGCTAAGAACAGTATATCAGATCAAATCCATAGCTATCATTTTATATAAGTGTGTGTATTATCAAGTCATTAATGTTGATCCTATAAATGTGACATGATGCAGTTTGTGATTATGTCACTAAGCATAATAAATTCAGCACCAACCATAGTTTCATGGTATGTTTGTGTGTGTCTTCAAGTCAACTGATGACTTATGGTTGACCCCACAGAGTTTTCTTAAGCAAGAAATACTCAGAAGCAATTTTGCCATTTCCTTCCCCTGAAATACAGACTAGTGCATTCAGTGGTAATCTTCCATCCAAATGCTAACAAGGGATGACTCTACTTCACTTCCAAGGTCAGATGGAATCTGATGCCTTTAGGATATTGACACCCTTAAGTTATATGATAAGCAGCACTTATATTTCTGAGTTGTTTCTAGATCTACTTAGTGAACATACCTATTTAGGGAAAAGAAATTATGCACCAGGGAGGAGAGAATTGGAACAGGAAGTAGCTTAGCTTTTGGCATGAGATACTGAAGTTTGAACCAATATAAATTGGTGGGTTGTTGTAGGTTTTTTCGGGCTATATAGCCATGTTCTAGAACATGGCCATATAGCCCAAAAAAACCTACAACAACCCAGTGATTCCGGCCATGAAAGCCTTCAACAGTACAATATAAATTGGAACCATTTAATTGACTGTACATGTCAGATTACTTTGGCCCTACCCTGTCATGGTACATACAAAAAGTAAGCTGTTTGTGGGTATAGAACAATGGGAAATAAATACAAATAATTATTATTGTGGGCTATTTTTACCTATCATGCATTTTATAATTTTGGCTTCCATCCTGTGGGTCCAAAGTGTTGGTCTGCAGTTCCCAGGATCCCTCAACTTTAGCTATGCTAGTTGAAGTCAAAGTCCAGTAGAATTTAGGGATCCCATGTTGGGAACAATTAGTTTCTAGCATTTGTCACAGAGGAATCCTACTCATAGCTTCAGCTTTTGCAACGTAAGACCGTCTTGTGTTGAAGCAACTAAATCATCTCTGTACAAGAGATATGCTTCATACCCTACTTTTCCTATCTACAAAAGAGACTAAAAGCGGCCATAGCTTAGGAGCAGAACAGATGCAAAAGAACTTGTGCTTAATTCTAGCATATCTAATTGAAAAAATCAACAGGTTTTTGGAGACTGTATCAAACTGTTGACAGATAGAATGGAATATGCTGGGCTAGACAGACAGATGGCCTGGCTAGATATAAGGCCTCTTCATCTGTTTATCAGTGGTAGGACTGATTGGCTTCCCCTTGTTCATCATTACCATCCAGTCCTGGGAAAGGACAACCCCATATTGCCCATCTTCTGGCTCACTGCAGTTGTCTTGTTTCTTGCATTCCTGTGCAATGTACCCCTCTTGATAGAGGTTTATTAAAGGAGCATCATGTATTCATGTCTATCAGATCCTGCTTTCCCCAAAGTCTACTGACCATATCTGGTGTAACCAGGATAAACGAAGTACCACATTCTAATCCATCAATGTATATAATCTTCCCTATATTTCTACTTCTTTTTGCAGTGAAAGCCCTCATGGGGAAACAGCTTCCACAGAAGATACAGCTCAGGACATGGTCACCGAACACCATACGAGTGATGATGGTAAGCCATAAGTAATGACGGCTCAAGAGAGACAATAATTGCCATATTTCTGGAGCCTTTCCTAGTTCGTTGTTTAATGGGCAAAGACTGAACTAACTGTTCTCATGTTCAGAAAAGAAAGAAGAACTGGTAGCTCCCGCTGCTTTTGGAGTGCTAGTCCTGTACATCTGGCTAATTGGATGCAACAGCCTTCACTAAGAACGAAGGCTGAGTTCCAAAAGGGAGCGCTGGAAGTAGAGGAACATCAAGTGTCTTGCTGGTTTGAGTACAAGAAATAATTATTAAATGAAAAAAGCACTTTTAAAAAGAAATCTCTCAACCGATGTCAGAAATTAAACAGGTCAGAGACAAATAGGGAGCCAAAACAGCAAGCCAGATTATCCAAGGAATATGAATTGGGAAAGACTCACCTGTGCTAAAAACATAAGTAATGATTAGTCAGCCTGGTAAGAACCTAGTCTAAGACGATTATTTGAATTCTGCCAACCTTTTCGTAGTTATCTGGGCAGATCTGGAAAATCTGTGTTTAAAGTTTGATTACAGAAGTGTGTCCATTTATGGCCTTTAACCCATCTCAGAGCCTTGTGTCTTCAAGAAGTAGAGCTTGGTATCTTTTTATGAAGGGCTTCTAAGACCCATGTATTCTATTACAGTGTTGGAAGATTCTTTGCTTTCATCCTGTACTTCCTGAGGAAAAATACCCAGATCAATAACTTTGTCCTAGGAAAACCTTTCCCTCAAGCATATTTCTTTTTAAAATGTTAAATGTTAAATTGCCAGTTGGTTCATGCTGTTGACTTTTACCTGGTGATCCAGTCAGCTAAGGAGAAAAAATCTTCCAGCCTGCAAATGGGTTAGAAAGATTGTTCTTGGAAATAAGGGTATTCCTTGGAATCAAGCAGAGATATTACAGGGAGGAAATAGGGGTATTTAAGATTGATAAAGGAAATTTTCTTGGGAAAGTTACAGTATGATAGATGATAAGGTACTATGGAGAGGGATAATAAATCACTAACCGCAAGACCTATCATACTTGCATGGCAGTTCAGAGTCATGGAATTGAGTGCAAAGAGACTATGATAAAGGAACATGAAGGCACTGCAGACTACTTCAACCAGAGAAATCAGCCATAGCAGAGCACCTGATGAACCAATCTGGACACAGCATTTTATTTGAGAACACAGAAATGCTGGACCACTCTCACAACCACCATGTCAGACTACACAGAAAAGCCATTGAAATACACAAGCATGTGGGCAATTTCAACAGAAAGGAGGAAACCATGAAAATGAACAAAATCTGGCTACCAGTATTAAAAAAAAATTTAAATTACAACAGCACAATAACAGAGAGGAAACAAACAAGGGCATCTAATCACCTCTCAACAAAAGTTTGCTCCAGGCACTGTCAGGCCATTATATGCTAATCAAGGTGGTCAGTTGAAACATTCACACCTAGCTCCAGCAGACAAGAGTCCTTTGTCCCACCCTGGTCATTCCACAGATATATAAACCCTTTTTTCCTAGTTCCAACAGACCTCACTACCTCTGAGGATGCTTGCCATAGATGCAGGTGAAACGTCAGGAGAGAATGCCTCTAGACCATGGCCATATAGCCCAAAAAAACCTACAACAACCCAGTGATTCCGGCCATGAAAGCCTTCAACAATAGACTATGATAAAACCTAGAGAAGATGTATGTGTGTCAAAGCTGCTAGGGTTTGTGAAGCAATGGCTTTGGATCTTTCAGATGCCTGACACAGAATAGGCAAATTATTCCCAACCAGATGTTGTCAGCCTAGAAATCACTGCTCAGTAAAGGTTTTACTTCAACCATCTATCTAGAAATTCTGCAGAAGTGCTGATTTTCCTTCCAACAGCTAGGTATGCAGCAGTTGGACAGAGGAAGTGATTTAATGTGCATCTGATGCCTGCAGACCAAAATGCATCCAATTCTCATTACCTCCAATAGGTCCACTAGATAAGACTGATTTCTTTTTGTAGATCAATGTATTAAAACTTTGCAAACCTCTTGTAAGCATGTGTTTTCATTAAATTATTTTTTTTCTTTTTCTTTCTTTTCTTCTTCTCCCTTTTTATCTTTTTGTTTTTGTAGAATGTGAACCCATTGAAGCAATAGCCAAATTTGACTATTCTGGCCGAACAGCACGTGAACTGTCTTTTAAAAAGGGGGCTTCCCTCCTGCTTTATCACCGAGCCTCTGATGACTGGTGGGAGGGCCGGCACAATGGAATTGATGGTCTGATCCCGCATCAGTACATCGTTGTTCAGGACACGTAGGTTACCTCTTTAAGCACATTGGGCACACAATTTGATTGTGGATTCAGTTTAACATTAAGTTTGAATAAAGAGATGAAATATCTGTCATATCTTAAAGAATTCACTACCTACCACCCCATTAGTCTAAATTCGTTTGGTGGTTAAAATATGGCAAAAATGCTCCCACAATCCATGGATTTCCCCCCCCCTCCCCCCCCCATTTTTTTAATGGAAGCAAAAATTATGATGATAAAATTTGGGAGATATTTACAATTTACAGTAGTAATCCTTGAAGTGTTACATAGGGTTTTGAATTGTGACTTCTTTTTTTTCTTAGCGAGGATGGAGTATTGGAAAGGTCAAGCCCAAAATCTGAAGTGGAAGTCAATTCTGAGCCACCTGAAGAAAAAGTGACAGCAAGAGCTGGTTCCAGCTGCCCAAGTGGTAGCCATGTTGCAGATATTTATCTTGCAAATATCAATAAGTAAGTGCCAATATTTAGTAAACAGTCTTTGTGATGCACTTGGTTTACTTATATATTATGACATCTATTTTGAATATCTGAGAATACACCACCTGTGGATCTACTCAGAGTTGAAAGAAAAGTCCTAAGCTGCACAACACACATTATAGGATCATGGAATGTGAGAAAAAAGAATCAGCAAAGCAGAGTAAAAGAAGAAATTGAACATAAAACAGTGCAATACTTGGGCTGAGAGAGCTAAAGGGGACAGGAATGGGATATTTTGAGTCAGATAGTTGCAATGATTGACTCAGAAAGTTTTTTTGTGTGTGTGTGTCAGGCGCAACTTAAATAACTGCAAGTGGCTTCTGGTGTGAGAGAATTGGCCGTCCGCAAAGACGTTGCCTAGGGGACACCCGGATGTTTTACCATCCTGTGGGAGGCTTCTCTCATGTCCCTACATGAGAAGCTAGAGCCTGTTCCCCGGATTTGAACCACTAACCCTTTGGTCAGCAATCCTGCTGGCACAAGGGTTTAACCCATTGAGCCATCAGGGGCTCCAAAATAAATATCTATAAAGACAAAGGGTGACATTAAGTGTAAGAAGAGATTTAGCAAAAACAAGTCAAAAGATAGAATGCAAAACCTGACCAAATAAAATCAGTTATACTTCAGGGAAAACCTATCAGTACAGTATAACCATAATCCAAGTTTATACTCCCAACCATAATGGCAGATAAAGAAAAGATTCTGTGCTGGAGTCCAGCTAGTGAGCTTCTTGGCCAAAACTGGGATTTGAATCTCCCAGTGTCTACACTCATATTTTAATCACTTCCATGCTGAGTTGTTACTATTTACAGAATTTTTGGGGGGGAAACTTGCTTTATTTCAGAATTTGATGATGGCAGTATATATTATTTTTTCTTTCTTGAACTGATTGTGCTGAATTTTTGTTTCTGTACAACTATTGGGTTTTTAAAAACTGCACTGCTTTTTATGATGACAGACAAAGAAAAAGGCCTGAGTCTGGCAGCATACGAAGGACTTATCGTCAGAGTGACAGCCATGGACTGCCCAGTTCGCTAGGAGAGCCAGTGCCACCAGGAGCTGTAGCCAGTTCTCGTCCCTCGTCACAACCCATTATGAGCCAAAGTCTCCCAAAGGAGGTACCAGATGCATGCTCCATCAGTGGCCATGGGAGCCTCAATTCCCTCAGCCGGCATGCCTCTCTGAAGAACAGAATAGATAGCCCCCATATCCGGAAAAATGTGACTGCGGGAAGGTCAAAGAGCTTTAATAACCATCGGCCCATGGATCCCGAAGTCATTGCACAGGTAATAGGATTCTTGGCCAGGCTGCGTCAAGTCTAGGGTCAACCTTCATATAGTACCAAACGATTTCCTCCACCCCATGCCACCCAGTCTCTTAAAAATTCTCTTCTGTGAATGTTGTTGTTGAGTATTCACTGACATTCATCTAATACACCAAAGTATTTGCCACAAATTCTTTGAATATTGTGATTTTTGGCAACAAATGTTATTTGATGTCAATATTTTATATTTTGCTTCAGTATTTGCTTCAGATCAGGAAACGTCCCCTTAGAAGTGATCAAAACAAGTCAAGTTTTGAATTCTGAGGTAACCTTTGATTTTGAATTTCAAATTCCAATCTGAATATTTTAAAATTTAAAAATTTTGAATTATTGTTTTCATTTTTCAGTTTTAAAATGTCAGCTCAGTTTGTGATTGCTGCATGTCTAGTCAATCCAAAAAGCATGAAACAATTCTCGTGTTCGGCCAGTCAGGTCTTTAGATTCAAAGAGGTTGTAAAGGACCTGTGTCCTCTACTGGGATGCATCCTAGTCAGATGCTGACAGATGCATTTTATTGAAAACTTTGGGCATGTGACCAAAATTTGGCCATGAATACACTTTCTTAAACGCTAAGAAAAAATTCAGTTGTGTCTTATCTTTGCATGACTGTGCAGAATGAACTGAAGTTCAGGGATATTTAAAGCCCTAGGGCCCTATTTCCTTTAGTTCTGGCCATGACAATATGTTAATATGAGAATACATTTCCTTTCAATTTTATGAAATATAAGCAGTTTACATAGGCAATGTAAAATTGATAGAACTGGCCACATTTCTGTTCTTCTAGCAACTCAGATCCCATCAGGTAAGGAGGATATCACTTTATTTCTTTCAATCACACTAACCTTTGAAAGTCTGAGATTCTGGTTATTTACAAACGTGAAAGCTGAAGGGGATCACAGACTGATAAAAGCTGCTACAATTATATAATTTATATATTTCCACTTAATGTTTTGGTGATGTTTAATAACAATACAACAACCAAGGAGATCCACCTTCATGATAAAATGCTATGCATTTTCCCCACTTTTCTGATTTTTTTACCTGAAAGCTTGATGAGAGAGTAAGAGTCAGGGAATGGGACTCATAGTATCTTTGTCATCACTCTAACCAGGCTTGCTTTATGTAATAAGATTATAAGAATCAAACATTTCTTCAGAGGGTGGCTTTTCTGTCCGTTCTCAATATTCAGAAACCATCCAATTTTGATTTCCCCAAATCCTTTGGGAGAAATCTTGTTCTTGAGTTCAGAGAGACAGAGAGAGAAATACTAAGATTGTATGGTTTCCAGAGTTCAGGTGTCTGTTACAGAATTTGTTTGGCAGTGGTTAGTGGTTGAAGTGCCATGAAAGAGTGCAGCTCGCCTTCCCTGTTTGCCACTTTCCTTGATTATTTCCTTGTGGTTCTTGTTTTCAGTTTCTGATAAGGAGCTATCCTCACACAAAGCAGTTTTCCTTTTTTCTGTTGTCAATATGTGATTCATGGTTCTCTCTCTCTCTTAATCTCTGTGCATATACATAACTGTGGCCAGATATTACATTTGAAACCAAGCCCAAACAGAAATTGAACGTTTCTGCCCAGTTCAGAAGGGAAATAAACATTTAAAGCACGTGCCATGTTGTTCCTTTTGTCCTTTCACATTTTGATATGAATGCTTTTTACGCAAAAGGTTGATGGGATGACATTCTGTGTCTATTGAAGACAGCTTGATGACCTCTTTTCAGAATCAAACCCCAATTAGTATCTCTGTTGATATCACAGACCTCTGTTCACCTTTTAATAATTTTAGCAAAAGGAAATGTTAGCTAACTACTGTATTTCTTCTTTTCTAAGATGCACTTTTCCCATAGTTTTTTTTCCTGTTGGTACTGAAATTAGTGTGCGTCTTAATTGATAGTGTCTTAGAATGGAAGAAATCCATTATATCACATTTCTCATTTTTCCCTCTCCCTCCCTTTCTTTTTTTATCTTTACTTGTAGCTCAGCCTGCCAATAGAACTGAGAAATTGCTGAACATTTGTAAAAAAATGAAAACAGGAGACTCAGAAGTATCTTTTCATTTAGTTTCCTGTGCCAGCTGTCAGGACAGTACTTTTGGCTCTGGGAAGGGTTTTGCCATTGGTTTCCTCTCCATCTGTAGCTGTACTATATTTGGGTGCTTAGCCAAGTACTCAATGGATCTGTCAGTACTTGATGGATCTGAGGCACGCATGAATCTTAGATTATAGTGTGAGGCATTCCAACAAAACAAGTTAGGCTGAAAAAAATCACAAGGCTGTCAGATACCAAATGGAGGCTTGTGGAGAGGAAGCTTTTTTGTTAGAGAAGTTTATATTTAATACGTGAACTGAGTTGTAGCCTTTAACCCACTGTTCAAATGTTTCACTTCATTGTCCTACTGTATTTGCTAGGCTTGGGGGAAGAATTCCTTATTTTAAAATAGTATACATGGAAATAATTCTAAATAGGAATAAGGGAACCCTATAAAAGATTTGAATATAAAGTCAACCAACTTTATACTCCAAAACAAAGCTCCAGAAATTTGTGGCTAGAAACAAGCAGACAAAATCATATAGATATTATTTAACAGACATGTATATCCACTCCTACCACGCACACACATATTTTCCCAATTCTTTGTGTTATAAATAAATAAATAAATAAATAAATAAATAAATAAATAAATTATATTTATACCCTGCCACCATCTCCCTGAAGGGACTCAGGCAGCTCACAAAAGCACTTCTAAGTGCCACACATAAAATAAACAATACATAAGCATATAAAACAGCAACATAAGTCTAAAAACAAAAAACACATATAAAACCCCATCTGATAAAATTGTAAATTTCATAAAATGGAGTAGAACCTGTGAATAAAACTGTCTATCTACAGTGAAGCAATCGCTGAGTCCTCAAATCTGACCGTAGATTACACAAGATCAAAGTCCTGTCTATAACGCCATGTTTTTAAACTAGCCCAAAAGCCTTGAAAAATGGGGGCTAACCTAATCTCTCTGGGGAGGGCATTCCACAGTCAGGGGGCCACCGCCGAGAAGACCCTCTCTCTCGTCCCCACCAACCGTGCTTGAGATCGAGAGAAGGGCCTCCCTGGCAGATCTCAAAGCCCACACCACTTCATAGAAGGAGATGCAGTCTCGAAGATAAGTTGGACCCGAAGCGATTTGAGCACAACTTTTAAACAGCCCATAAAAACTTGGGTTGCAAAGCTGGAACCATCATATTTCAAAAGCATGTTGGGAATTGGTTATGATATTTTAAATATGACTTTTTAACACGCTCTCTGGCACTGCAGAAGAGAATTCTCTGAAGTAAACATCACCTGTGATAAGCTTTGGGGCTGATTGGACAAATCTCAGCTTCCACTCCTCATGTTTATCCTACTTTATTCTTCAGATCTACAATACTATCCACAGTCTTCATCTGTAGATATTGTTTTCACTCTGATTTAATTTCTTGCTCATATGATAAAGTGATATATGGATCACAATGCCTTGGCATCCTTTTGCAATACTTTGAATGGCATATATCAGTCCCTTTTGTCTTTCTATTAGACTTTCTATTAGGCTGCTTTTATCCACTCTCTTCTCCTTGTCAGAATATAATTCACTGTTTCTGTGAGGGAATACAAATCGATAAAAGGAAAAAAATGGGTTGTATTAAATTAGAGCTCCCCTTTCATGTCCTCTCGGGTGTCTTTCAAAAGCCATGAGATACTTATCTTTTGTTTGACACTGGTATCTCTCTGGGATCTTTATTTTGCTTTTTAAAAAATTCAGACTGCAGTCAGAGGCTTGGGTTACTCTCTTTAGTTCTTCCTCCTCCTCGACTGACTTGCCTCCCTGTGTTCCTTAAAATGCCTGTAAGGAAACAAAAATTCTGTAGCCAAGCTGTGAGTCATGGAAAAACAAAATCATTTCACTTTCTAAGAATCCTGTCACCTCACTAAAGGTTGCATCTGTACCTGTTTTAAGTTAACTTGTAGGTCATAATGTTGCAGGCATTTTAAAAAAACAAAGAAACCAAACACAGACTTAATGTTTGCTCCTATTAATCTCCTGCACCATTTCCTACATCAATCATGTAAAGTGAGAGGAAAATGTCATCTGAAAGTTGAAAACCTACTGTGGATATAGCATTTCTGTTTCAGATAAGGGCACTTTTTTCCCAAGTAGCATTTAACATATTTTATATACTTTTTCAAGGATAAGAAGAGATCATTATTTTCAAACAAAATGCTGGCATTTCTCTATCCAATTGGGGAGAGATATCTGAGAAAAGTGTTACTAGTAGGCACTCACTTGTTTTGCAAAACAAATCCTTAAAATATACTTTATGCCAGGCATATAGCAAAAATTGTACCATGCTGAGCATTTTAAACATATCTCCCTTCAAAACAAACAACAGGTTAGTCTAAAATTACAAAGGCCACTAATTTGTTGAACTTTTGTTTCAATGATTAAGAGAGAGGATACAGTTTCTTGTGCTCATAAAGCTTAACAGGCCTGCACAGCTTGTAGCCCTCGAGCTGTTTTGAGCTCTAACCCCCTGAAGGCCTAGCCAGCTTGTCTAATGGCCAGGAATTCTGGAAGCTGAAAGCCAAACTAGCTGGAGGGCCACAGGTTGTACAGGCCTCACTTAGAATATGGATCAGGCTTTCCTGTTGGTTACATTAACATCTTTGCCTTTCATGCAGTGAGCTCAAGGTATCCTCTCATTCTCCTTAGTGTTGTCCTTACAACAACCCAATAAGACAGATCAGATCAAAAACGCAGAGAGATAGACTGCATATGTGACCCATTGAAGTTTCTAGAGTCAGGATTTCATTTCAGTTTTTGATGCTTTGCATTAGAACCACAACCAAATTGGCCACATATTGACTTTGTCTTACTTGGTACTTTATAGACAAAAGTCTTGCCAAGAGCAGCCGTATTAGCTCAGGTTGTCCTATGCCTACCACAACAAGAGCAGCTTTCGCCTTTGTGCCTGCCAGAGTCTGCCTTTGCTTAGTATTTTCTATTCACCACAGAGCTTTCACCACACGAATTTCTCGCTGCTGTAATCAATTCCAACTTGTCTCTTTTTGCAGGATATTGAAGCTACTATGAACTCTGCTTTGAATGAGCTGCGAGAGCTGGAACGGCAAAGCAATGTCAAACACACCCCAGACGTTGTCCTGGACACCCTGGAGCCTCTGAAAACCTCCCCGGTCATCGCACCCACCTCCGAACCCTCCAGCCCTTTGCATACTCAGATCCTCAAGGACTCTGAACCAGCTTTCCAGCGGAGTGCGAGCACAGCAAGTGACATTCCCTGTGCCTTCAGGCTAGCAAAATCTGTCAAAATGGCTGCCCAGGTCAAGCCCCCGGCGACCAGACCCAAGCCTGCCGTTTTCCCCAAAACAAACACCACAAGCGCTGCAGTTGCCTCAGCATCTCAACAGTCTACTGACAAGTCCTGTACTGTCTGAACTTGAAAGCCTACTGTGAATATAGTGTTTTTTGTTTCAGATGAGGGGACCCCCTTAAGGAGACATTACAATGTCTATTTAATTAGCATTGAACTTCTGCTGAAGATTAGTTTGTCAGTTACTTTTGCCAGGGATGTGCCCCCAGCTCATGAAGCCTCGCCTTTGCACCTCCATCAGTGATACTAGGGCACCACAACTTGGTTCAGCTAGATATATGTTAGCAGGTCTTAGATCACTGTGAAATCAGTGAGGGGAAGGTGAAATTATTTAATGTGTTCCTGGTAACAAGTCAATGCCTTGTTCAAGTGTCTGGTGTCTAAAAGAAACCTTTGGAGTCTTCATGCTTTGGAGGTTGCTGGAAAGGGACTTCTGTGCTTCAACCACTATGGGGGAAATAGCACAATATTGCTTATCCGTGCTTTTGAGCCTGCTGCTTTAGGTGGGCATGCCTAGGGCTCATTTCTGTGCATTATTACAGTGCCCTACGGTGCCACTAAGTCTGCTAAGTGTTCATTACAGCCTATCTCTTTTCAGGGGTGTGCCTGTTCTAAAACATATGTTGTCGTTGTTTTCTAATTTAGGGTTCAAAACCCATAATGCATTGTGCCACATGAATCTAGTCCTGCTTTAATGGAGACATATTACATGAATCTGTGCATGTATTCATTTGAAGTTAAACCAATCGTATGGGGAAAATAAGGAAAATGACAGATTGCATGGTAAAGCAGGCCCTACTTGTATCCTTGCTTGATGCTTCCACAACAAAGCCCAACCATAATGCTTTGAATTTTAATACCATTTCCCTAAAAGAGTTTCATGCAGACTTTTGAGACAAAACAAAAACTTGAGTTACATTTTGAAAATCAGATACTTTCTCATTCACCCCCTTTCTGAAATGACATATGTGCATTTATGTACATCTACAACTGGTAGGCAACCTGCTGTCCTCCAGATGTTTTGAACAACAAACTCCCATTAGCCTTGACCTTTGGTGATCAGTCCAGAACTTGGGGATTTGTAATCCACAACAGGAGAAAGTGGCTGGATTGCCTAGCCATGATTCACAGTGTTCTTTGTAAAATGAGATGGGTTCAGGCCAGTCCCTCAAGTTCTGACCAATCATAAATCCTACATTTGATAATCTGATTTAGCAGATTGACCCTGTCTGTCTGTCTGTCTGTCTCTCCTCAATCTCTGTCTTCTTCACTTCATTTTTCCCTTTGTGGTTCAGCCTACTGTGAGTTTATGGTGTGGTGGAATAAGGCAAATAGAAAGCTGTGCTAGGACATGGACATGGATATAGTCCAACATGCAGCATATTTCTTTGATTTCATGACTTCAATTAATTTACAGACAGTCAAATTAATCGTCTCAGAATCTGGTATTTAACATGATGGATCACGGTCGCGTCAAGTCCCAACAAACTATACACTCTTGCGTACATTTGGAGGGGAATTTATTTTTCAAAATGGTAGGCATCTTTAAAAGAAGATGAAAATGCCCACTTGAAAAGTAACAGGGAACTTCTCTGCTGCCTTTTTAGCCACCAGCCAAAAGAACACTGAATTAGAATCCATTCTGGCTCAATCACGCTCCTTTGATTGTCATCTGGGGACAAAATAAGGAACTGAAACTTATTTTAATTTCACGCTCTAGATCTGAGCTGCCGTATGTTTTTCTTGTGGTTTAATGAATGGAATAGTTAGTGATATTTTAGTAGAAGCCAAGTATTTACTCTTATGTGAATGAAACTGATGGTAATAATTTCAGGTTAACCTAAGATGGTTACATTGACAGACACATTAATCTCTGTACTATCTTTTTCTTTAGTTTGTCTTTCTAAATTATGCTTATGACTTGACAATCTTACAAACAATGATGGAAAGGCAAACTTGAGAAAGATTTAGGTGGGGACAGTTTCAGTCTGTAACTTTTTCCATAACCTTTGACTGTTTAGATACACTGACCTCTTGTTTGTATGTGTGTGGAAGCGCATGTGTTACCTCTACATCTTGGGCATTTACTGAATGTCCTGGGCACTGCAACCTGGTCATTAATTCTCAGGATGAGGCAGACTTATGATTAAAGAACTTTTATGCTTTTGTTGTTTAGGATTTGGAGTTTTACTCAGGCAAAACTACTTGATTCTTTTTTTTAAAAAAACTTCTAAGAATGTTTTAGGGTTATCACCTCCTAAAGCAGGTCAAGCTCTTTCACCTGTACCAGCCTGACGGTACATTTCCTGCAGGCAAATTCCAGATACCATCTGAAGTCATTTCAGTGTAATTAAAGGCACATGGAGCAGAAAGGCATTAGCAGACATGATGTTACGTCATTACATGAGTCGGAAAGCAGGGATGGACCTAGGTATTCTTTATATAACATGTGTTCAACATGCCTTATGTTATAACAGTGAAAAGCAGCATAGCCGCTCAAACGCACTTTGATACAAAAAAAAGTTATTTCATGTGTTCACTATGTTTTGGCAAGTGAGTGAAAACTGGCTTTTTAAAAACACGTCGATTTTTTATGGCTAGTCTTTATATATTGAACTTTGAGAGGGTTTGTTTTGTTTTTGTTTTTCCTGACCAGCACTGGGGAAAACCTACTGACAAAGAAAGTAAAAACACCAGAGTATGGTATATACAACATATCAGTGCTACCCAACTGGAATTTATGTTTGCAACCTGATTTACATTGAAATGTACATAGGAAAACATCATTTCACACACAAGTTCTAAGTAATGTATTTGAAAAATAAATCAACTAAATAATGTAGGCTAGGTGACCGAATCGATGCCTTTTGCAGGCCCTTGCACTACTGTATTTTCTGCATATTTCTTCTGAAGAAATTACTGGAGAGAGAGATTTTAGGATGTATCTACATTGCAAACCTATATTGATTTTATATCAGGTTCCACGGCTTGCCCTCAAGGATTGTGATCATTCTGCTTTATTGAGACAAGAAAAATATTTTAGAAATCACATCCCTCCATTCTCCTTAACCACACAACCATAAACACCCAGGTTCACTTGGAAGAAGGAATGACTTCTTTAAAATTATGAGGAGTGCCATCCTACCTCTTCCCCAACATATATAGCAGCTTGTATGTGCTATGTCTGAATGCTGGCAGCAGCCTCCACTGTCAAAAAAAAGAGCACGGCTTAGACCAGTGGTTCTCAACCTAACAGCTGGTAAACTAGCTGTGATTTCTGGGAGTTGTAGCCCAAAACATCTGGGGACCCACAGATTGTGAACCACTGGCTTAGAAGGAAATTTACTGCAGTAATGGAGGACTGTATTCATGTACAAACAGAAAGATGCTCCAGAGGGTAGGCTCTTCTGGGACTGGATAGGAGTCAGCTTTAAACTACTGGATCCCCTACTGAGTGCAACTCAAAGAAATCCACTCTTTTATAGTGTTAGATCCCTCTGGGACCCTCACAGGCCACAAAAGCAGCCCTGCTTAACTGGTTTATAGCTTTGCTACTCCTCCTTCCCCAAAGGTTGTTTATAGTGTTGGAGGCTACATTCATTTTTAAATAAGAGAAGAACCCTATCTAAAAATACATATTTATTCAAACCAAGTAAATACAAAGTCAAATTTCGATAACTGGAACCATGCATTTCTGGTAGCAATATGGTTACATAACAACTATGTGGGAATAATCTATGCAGAATTTTATGAGGGAAGTAAAGGCATTTTAGCTGAATCCTCCTGTTCTGGGAGAAAGGCAAGGTATAAATCAAATAAATGTCACTTTTTTGAGTTTCTATACCTGTAACATACCTGTAACCTGTAACATGCAAGATATTTCTTGCAAATAGCAGTTTTAGGTATAGGTAAACATCTCTTCTTGTCTCTTTTTTTAAAAAAAACAATAGCTAGTAATATGAAAGTGTTAAAAACATTTAAGCTTAGTTCACATTATAGTTTGTTGAATGTCGATCGACAATAAAACCATGTTTCCTTCATATCTCTACAGTTAGTAATATTCAGTGACACTGTAACCGTGAAGGCATTTGTTCTCTAAATACTCTTGGGAGACATTTACGTGGCACAGAGAAATACCTCATTTTCTTACTACTACACAGTTGTCCATTTGAACAAACATTTGTTCAGGCAGGACGCTTCCCTACTGATAGGGATGTCATTGCACAGCAGCAGGATAGAGGGGCTCTTCCAGTTTTGGCTTCTTCAACGCAGGCTGTGGCTTTCATATTCCGCTTTTAAGGAGTTTTTACAAGGCTAGGATTCCTATCTGGCTGAAGGCCTGGCTATTCCTGTGGCTGCCCATATGCTTCAGTCTTGCAGTGATGTGTAGCTCTGTTACATTACATAATAATATATCTGTAATGCTACTATTTTTCTATTATAAAGGCACTGTTGTTTGAGACGGGACAAAATCTAATTCTGTGCTAGGTGTAACAACAAAACTGGCTTCCCCTCCAATCTCTGCCTCTCAGTGCTGTTCTGCTCACTACCAAAAACATTTTGGAGATGTTTCCAGTCTTACAGAGGGATGCAATGGTAATTACCCACAGACCTGCCTCCAGAGGATTTTTTTTTCTTTCTTCCAACAGAAATCGATTGTTGAATCCTGTTCCCAAACACTAACACATTAACTACTTTCCTAGGACTGGTTGACAAATTCTGTATATATTCTCATGTATAAGTTGAGGGAAGGTTTTAGGGTCAACATTATAGGTTTCGATATATCCTGTGGATAAGTCAGGGTCATTCCACTGAGAGGGGAAAGCACCAATACCACCTTGGGACAACCGCCCCTGGCTGCCATCACCATTTTCCCACCCATGCATTCAATAAGGCCAGGAGCAGCACCATAGCAAAGAGCAGAAGAGGCTGATGCTTCATTTAGGTTCTCCCAGGATAGACTAAACTTTTGCCTTTTGACACTCAGAGAAGGAGATTGTTCCTTTTTTATACAACAGTTAAGGTACAGTTCTCACATTGATCCATAGATAAATCAACCCAGGGTTTTTGGATTCATTTTTGAGTAAAATTTCTAGATTTATACATGAGTACTGTCACAGGCCAATCTTGAGTGATGGGTAAAGAACCAAGCCCTTCTCTGAGTATCACCATTCTTTTCTCCACCCTTGAACAGAAAGTCTTACTCTCCCTTTTGAATATATGATGGAGATGGTGCTCCCTCTTTTCCCATCAAATGCCTCCATTCACCCCTCTCTTCATCTCTACTTTCTGAGCTGTTTCAGGAATCAAAAGAAGGATATGACAACTAGGGTCTTGCAAATAACTTCAGCAGGTTCAACTGGCCTTCCAAGCTGCCATTTCCTACCTCCTGGTTCTGGGTTTTGGTCCATATTTACGTTCATGGAAATGTTTTTGGAAATGCAATATGGTTAATAAAGACTGCAAGATATTAGTAAATGTAACTACAAATTAATAACTAACATGTGCCTAGGATATGAATTGCAGAGAGAAGGACTGAAAACTCAGTTGCCATTCAGTTATGTCTGTCTTTTCTATAGGAAGTCAAATATTAGACCTGTTAATCCAGGAATTCTCTCTGTGAGTGTCCTTAGGCTGCAATTTTATCAACAGGGAACCATTTTTAAAAACAAAAGTTTAGACATGAATGTGTTGAACACTAGATAAGTCCTAAAATGCTTTCTTGTTGTGTGCCTTCAAGTAGCCTGCAACTTATGGTGGACCTACATGGGATTTTACTGGCAAGATTTGTTCAGAGGGGATTTTACCTTTGCCTTCCTCTGAGGCTGAGAGTGTGACTTACCTGAGGTTACCTGGTGGATATCCATGGCTGACTGAGCAGGGATTCAAACCTGGTCCCCAGAGTCACAGTCCAATGCACAAACCACTACACCATCCGCAGGGAGAGTTCTACCTTGATCATAGCTTTACGTGAACTCCCTGGAATGTATTCCATCTCAGACAATTATAAAGATGCTTGGATAGCACAAAGCTGGGGGAAACTCCATCTTGCTTCTCTGCTGCGTTGCACACAAAGGAACAATTATGCATGTGCAGTAGCTGCTTTTCAAAGGTTTTAACAACTCTACCTATTCACATGCTTTGAATGCAAAAGAAACAAAAATGTAATAGATATTTCCATCTTACTTGATCTTTTGAGCATGGGGTGGAAAAATATTTAAGGGTGAGCCGTTTTTCTTTACAACTCTACAATTTCCACCACAAGTAGTTGTTTTGTTTTTTTGACTGCAAGACCTTTCAAAAGAGATGTGCTTTAGGTGTGTGTTTTGTCCCATACAAGTGAAAAGTTCCATGTAGTGGAAATTAAGCCTTCAATTATAGTAGCACTATACTCTTAAGAGAACTTTTTATGTGTACTTATTTTCTTTTCTGGAAGTAGAAGGCTGTACTTTCAGCAGATCTTCATGGGTTAGACTATGTGGGTGCCAAACTGTTAGAGCAATATACTTAAATACAAACAGTTACAAAACAGGCAGACCAAAATCAATGTAGCCAAAATACAGCAAATGGTAAAGCATATATATTTGAAAAGGCATGGCAGCAATGTCTTTTATTCTACTGTATGTAACACAGTTCAGTTGCACAGTCTATCAGTCTTCAGTTTTTGTATTTAAAGATCTCATCCTGCAGAGTCGGGTTTGGATCGTTGTTGTTTCTCTTAATTAACAGCAGCTGTTTTAATGGGTTTGGAATGAAATGTCCTTGTTTTAAAAGCAATTTTCATTACTTCTTATATTCTACACCAATCTATATATATGGTGTATATTTTTTTCTTTACAAAGCAAGCAAACAAACAAAAAAACTGTAAAATTGTACTTTGTGTATACTATTATGTACAATATTGGAGGTACATCTCTTCTTTCTTTTTTGGTACAGTATTGTACAGTATTAGAGGAGTAAATGTGTTGAAATTGTTAAATCGGTGAGGAGGGGAAGCAAATATATCTGTTGTCACTAGCAATAGTTCTCTTTTTGGAAAAATAAATGTTTGGGTATGGTGGAAGTGCTGGCCTATGGACAAAAGTGTGTGTTGTCACATCTGTGCAGGAAAAAAAGAAGAATAAAAGCTTTTAAGATCAGAAGATCTGTGATTCCAAATGCCACAATACAGGTTGAGTATCCCTAATTGGAAATTTGTGGGACGAGTATTTGGATTTGCGGACTGTCTTTACATTTTGGAATATTTGCATATAGGTAATGAGATAGCTTGGAGACAGGATCCAAATCTAAACACAAAATTCATTTATGTTTCAGATACACCTTTTACACATAACATGAAGGTAATTTTGTGCACCATATTTTGATAGCTTTGTGTAGGAAATAAAGCTTGTGCACATTGAAGCATCAGAAGGCAAATATCACTAGTTCTCAATTACCCAGATTTTGGAATTCTGAATAAGAAAGCTCAATGTGTATAGGAATATGGTTGGTTTGCCTCACTATCTGTATAGAAAGTTTCTTTATCTAGGGAATTCAACAATGGCAAGCAGTAGTCAGAAGGCGAGAGAAGCACTTTCTGTGAAGTGAGAGGAACTGAGAATTTCATCCAACAATGCAAATTATCCTGGTAGTCTGGGACACATCTACACTAACAAATCCAGCGTTAAGGTTGTCTTAGATTGGTTGACTTCAGCTTGAATTCCTCAAGGTCCCAGCCAGCATGGCCAGAGATTTCAGTAGTCCAAAACATCTGGAAGGACCAAGGTTGGTAGCTGTTGTGCTGTTACCTCTGGAAGACTGATCCCCATTTTGTTCAAGTGTTACAGAGAAGTCAAGTTTCCTACCAACAGAGACAGCATGATTTGGCAAGAATTCTGGCATAGGTTATCCTAGTAGTCTCAGGAAAGTATTAATCTAGCCTGGCTTTGCTTAGATTGAAATCATGCAAAATTGTGTTGTGTTCAACCTCATCTTTCCTTTAAACATTTCACATTTGTTCTTTCACTTATGCAGAATACAAGTTCAAGCAGAAAGCAAGTTTGCATATCCACAAATTATCCCCCAGGATAGCTCTATGTTGTTTTGTCTTTTTTTATTTACAGCCCACCCTTTCCAGAGTGGAGTGAATTGACAAACAAGTCCTATAAAGAGGCATGTTACCTCCCATCCTGTTTGGATGCTGCATTTGCCATAAATTCTGGAGGAATTGACTTTTTGAGTTTCTGGCACACATTAATAGAATTCAGTATCCTTAACACAATCAGAGGCTAGATCCATGGCATTTACTCTTTCGGCCCTAGCAAAATGGCATGCACAGTTATTTATAAATGCTAAGTATCAGAAATTGGCTATGCACACTTTGATAGCCATTTGGAAAATGAGATACACAGCACTTTGGAAAATCTGATCCGCATTATTCAGAAGATTTTTACTCTTATCCATTTGCTCTAATATGCATCAGCAAGACAGTTGATTAATTTTTAAAGTTATAATGTAAGTTTAATTGAGCCTCCCCCCTCACCTCTGAAAAGTTTTGCACAAATTTAAGATGGACATGAGAGAAATTGGCACTTCAGCCCCCATGTTCTTGAATGTGTGGTTTGTGGAATTTAGGTAAGATGTTCTGTGGTTGCAAGAACATGCAACTGGAGAACAACCTAGTCATTGTAATGGAATACTTGCAGCCATATAGCAAGATACTTCTAAGTTTGCCCTGTGCCATAAATGGAAGTAGGCCGAACTATGATATGTCTTAGAGTTTTACACAATCTTTTTATATTCAGATGCTCTAAGACAAGGATGAAACATTAAATTAGAGATTTGGAAAACTATAACAAAATGTCACAGGGACTTACAGCTGAGTCACATCCATTCTAATTTATATTAAGCTGCCTTGGGTCCCATATTGGCATATATATTGAATAATTCAATAAAAATTAAAGTAAAATAAATGAAATACATTGAATGAATCTGCATGAAGGGAACAGTTGTTTAAGACAATGTGACTTGCAGGAATTACTCTTTACAAAATGGATGGTGTTATAATACTTAGCAGGACATCTGTTTGTAACACGCAAGAAAGAATCCATGAGCTGATTTTGCATCGAGTCAAGATGTGATTTCAGGAAACAAGCTCATTGCTGAACGTGTAGGAGAGAACCAGTACTTATGATGCATATCAATTGTGTGATTATATAGCAGAGAGAAAGATAAATCAGATGTGAGCTTGCAACTTTTCTGTGAGTTTTATAAATGCAGCTTTTAAATATCTAAAAATATAACCGATGGGCATTTTGCTTGAGATAATTACACACTGAGCCTTGATGATGCTCCAACAACCATGAATCTACTGCTATTATTTCCACTGAAATCACTTTGATGATTCACAGAGAGATTAATGTAAACAGCAATAAATTCATATGGAATGGAACTTGCAACCATGCTAAGCGACTGCCTTCTTTGGCAGCTTTCCTTGGCCATAAACAGCTGCAGTCTGCTTCCTGCTTCAATCAGCCATAGGGGAATGAAAGGGCGAATCCCCACATGTCACAGAAACACGGTGGCCGTCCATAAGAGGGAAAGGACTGGCGTTGGTTTGAGGTGAAATCCAACTATGAGTTAATGTTCATAGTGTTACAAGGAGCCTGTGGTGAGATGCTGTCAGCAAAATTCACCTAAAGGAAAAACAGATGGCTCAGAGAGAATTCAGTGTGAGGCTAGAGCAGAATTTCTATATAAAGATAGTGAGAAAATACAACTGAAGCTAAGCTGGAAGGGAAACTACTCAGGAATTTAACAAATTAAGCAATAAGCAATACACCAGGAATTCCACAAACTATTTTCTTTAATCTTCTGAACCAACTCTTGGACACAATTTCATCAAAATATTTCCATCAAAACCCATTTTAGGGGTCTCTGGAGGCTTCAAAACATGCTGGATATCACCTAGGGAGCATGGGGGGGGGATGCTTGCTCTCTATCTATCTATCTATATGTAATGTTCGTTTGTGGGATTAACATAACTCACAAACCACTGGACGAATTGATGCCAAATTTGGACACAATACACCTATTAGGCCAACGAGTGACCATCACTCATAAAAACACTGGAAAACACAGCAAAAGAGACTTAAAAGCTAAAAAATAAAAAAATACAACGCATGCACAAAACCATATATATACACACATACACATACATACACACACATAACACATATACACAGACTGGGCCACAGCAACATGTGGCAGGGGACCATTAGAAGACAGTATTTTCTGTTGGTTATGGTCGTTCTGTGTGGGAAGTTTGGCCCAAAGCTATCAGTGGTGGGATTCTGAGTGCTCTTTGATAGTAGGTGAACTATAATTCTCAGCAACTACAAATCCCAAAAGAAGATCTATTTTCCTCAAACTCCACCAGTGTTCACATTTGGTCATATTGAGTATTCGTGCCAAGTTTGGTCCAGATTCATCATTGTCTGAGTCCACAGTGCTCTCTCAATGTACGTGACTACAATTCCAAAACGCAAGGTCAATACCCACCAAACCCTTCCAGTATTTTCTGTTGGTCATGGGAGTTCTGTGTGCCAAATTTGATTTAATTCCATCGTTGGTGGAGATCAGAATGCTCTTTGATTTTAGGTAAGCTATAAATCCCAGCAACTACAACTTCCAAATGACAAAATCAGTTTTGAATGTTCCGCTGCTCCAACACATCTTAAGTTATAGCCATGTTTGATCTTTCAACCATTGCTACGGCTGTTTTGGAGGGGCACGCCGGCAATGTTTCCTTTCAGTTGACTCAGCATCATTTACTGTTTAGTCTTACATCTGCAAACAAAAAATCTTGGGTTCTGTTTTTCAACCAACTCAATTTTCTGAAGCAGTTCAGTCCCTAACCCATCAGACCAGCAAGGGTGCTTGTACCTTCAAAGTGGCCTCCTCTAGAATGAAATCCTATCTTGGGTTTCCTTCCTTAGCCTAACATTTGAAATGCTTCGAAGCATACTCTTTTCTCTTCACTTCAAAAGAGGGCAGTCCTGAACTGGAAGCGATTTCCGGCCCCACTGCAGTATTAGAGATATTTTTGTCTTGTTTATGTTTTCATGAAAATCAGAATTTTGCTCTATATTTTCCTCTGTGAGCCCTCACTGCTGACGTGTTGAGGAGCTGTCAAATATTTTAAGGCTGGAGAATGTTTCAAAACACAAGAGACTGCAAAATATGCTTAAAACACATTTTTCTTTCATACAAAATAAAGGAAGTCAAGAAAATGCAAGAGGCGCTTGGGAGCAAAGGCAGCTCTAAGAGGAAGATGGAATATTTTACTCCTTGGATTTTAAAGTAAATCTTAAGACATCTATCATTTAAAAAGCTGGAAATGAAATTATATGCTTTTTGGTTTATAACAGATCTAAACTGTAATTGGGAAGGAAGAACAATTGTGGACATTGCTATAAGTTTATGGCAATGGTTGCATATTTGCAGATCTTTCCATGCCAACCTTGTGATATTATCTTTTTAAATTGTTATTCTTGTTTAAATTGCTGTTTTTATAATGTTAAATTATTGTTGCTATTCAAAGCAATGCAGCTCCAAACTGAAACAACAATATTATAAGTAAAATATTTTCATAAATTAGGGGAGGCAAAGGCAGTTGGCCTAGGAACTAGTTTCGGTCCTTTGGATCTTCTCCGTGGACTGTAAAAATGCCCCCAAAATGGGAGCAAAAATTATAGATCTTTGAGATCAGTTTCTGGCATTGAAAAACAAGTATTTTAAGGTGTTAAGCAATGCTGGTAGTCCCTGCACCCTATTTAAAAAGTGAACTCCTGGTCCCTGAGGCCCTTTTCACACCTGAATAAAATCCCTCATTATCTGGTTTGAACTGGAACTTTCCATGCCTCAGATAACCCAGTTCCACATTATATGAGTGTGGACTCAGATAACCCAGTTCAAAGCAAATATTGCGGGATTTTCTGCCTTGATATTCTGAGATATAGGTTTGTGTAGAAAGGCCCTGAGACTTCCACAAGAGGCAGTTCAACTTGGATTTGAGGAAAGGTAAGGAAGGAGAAGCCCAGGGTCCTGGAGACAGAAGAGGAGAGGGAGGGCCCTTTCACACAGCTCTATATCCCAGAATACC